ACAAAGTCATCTTTTAAGTAAAGTTATACCTACAGCCTTAACCTTGCTAACTTGTGGTGAACTTTTACAAGTTAGGTGTTGGTTATGACCCTTTTTTCTCTTTTCTTCAGTAAAGGGGGCTCACTTGTTAACAGTATTCTAGCATCCACTGCGTCGCACCAAAAAGTTTTACTAAACTTTACCACTTTAAATCAATATCGCTGGAACAGCGTTTCTTTTAAAAAACTTTTTAAAATAAAAAATCCTTCTTTTAGTCGAACATCTCATACTAAAGTTTCTCATTCAGGTATTATTTAAGTTTTAGTTTTAAAAACTTAAGTTCGTATAATTTTTAATTTTTTAACAGCTTTTAAGTACAGTTATTAACTAGTGTATCTTTTTATAAGTTTTTTAAGCAATTTTTAGTTTATTACATTATATTCTATATATAGGTCTACTTTCTAAAATAAAACGAAGTCTTGTTGATATTCCTAAAGACAAAGTATTTGCTATCATACATATATGTGGCTCGCAATATAAAGTTACTTCTGCGGATACCATTATAATTCCACGAATTCAAGCTGAACTTGGAGCAGAAATTTTTCTCCACAAAGTTCTTCTCGCTGGCACAGAAAATGTAACGCTTATAGGGACTCCCCTTCTGGAAGCATCAATAGGTTTTTTTAACAAAATAAATTATACTTAATAATTAAAAAAATTTTCTTTTATATTTTTTTTAACCGTAGTTACAGTTAAAGCATATGTTTCAGAACATACGAAAACAACGAAGGCTATAATATTCAAGAAAAAGCGTAGGAAACGCTACAAGAAGAAAAGTCATCATCGTCAATTGATTACACAACTAAAAATAAGTGAAATTAAAATCACTTCTAACGTTAAAACGGATAAAGTAAAAGAATTAATCAAGGAATAAAGTTTTTATGATTTTCACTACACTTTGTAGTTACCTATATTAAAATTTTATTTTAGAGGCTTGAACCGAACTTTATCATTTATTGTTGAATGGAGAATTTATTAACTGTCGAGACAACTTTTTTTTATAAGTTTTTTCTTTCTATTTGAGGTAGAAGGGCGGGCTGTTTAATTAGTTGGTAGCTTTCAATTGTTCAAAAATGAGTCTTTAGATTTAATAAATTAAGGAAAAGAGGAAGGTGTGGTAATATATAATATATGAAATAAAAAAAAGAGGTTAGCACGCTCTTACTTTTTTTAAGATACAAATAATTTGTATATACTTAATAAGGTTTAAAGGAAAAAACATAAATTTATTTTTACTTTATTGTTCTCAAATTTTGGTACAGTTCTTTAAATGTTCGCATTCCTAGAGTTTTTTTTTTTAATCTTAGTGAATAAGTTTTTGCTTACGGCCAGTTATTATTTAATTTGTAACTATTTTATATTAACATATTTGAGAGAAATGGTTTTGATTCTGCTCTTTTGTAGTCATAAAGCACCCTAACTAACATAATTAAGATAATATTGAAGTTATTTGAAAATTGGGCACAGTTCATCTCTAGCAGAAAAGGTTTTTCTTTAATAACCTGTGACGGTTTTGTACTACTAGTCTACTCCTAGAAGCGGATGACCAAATAGTTTTTCAAAAAAAAAACGTTAAAAGGTTTTAACATTGCGACTGCTAAGCTTAAAGTTAGATTTAATAGAATGAAACGAAAAGAAAGAGAATAAGGGGTCGACTTTACTTTTTTTCTATTAATATTTCTTAGTGCTCGAACGGACCGTGAAAGAAAACACGAACTTATGAGTCCCCAACAGAGTGATGACCACACACATTAGCTTCAAGCTTGCGTTGAAGCAATTTCATATATGTATTAAAAATAATTCTGCCCGTAACCTATACTATATTTAGAGTCCATTGCGCGGTCGGCTATAGCATTGCGTCGAAAAACGTTACGCAGTGGTTCAATCTGGAGGTCTTTATGGGATTGACTTTATTTTGGGTTAGTATCACTTTTATGCATATAATTTATGAAATTTTCGGGAAAATTAAAAATGTTCGGCAGTATTCTTATTTACATATTATTTGAGATTTTGGGAACTTTTATTCTATTAAGATTTACTTATATTGATGACTTCTTACTGCACAATAAGTAAAGTTGGAGCACTGCAACTCTTTGTGTTACACTATCACCAGATATGAGAATTGTTAAGTTAATATTTAAAAGTAATTATTTTTTAAATCAACGAGGTAACTGAGTAGAGGATTTGGAACAAGAGAAAGGATTTAAGTCTTTAAGAGCATGAGCCCTTCCAGAAACAATAAAGAACTAAATAGTTTTCTGCAAATAATAAATAATTTGAAGTGTGTATTTTTTAAAAATTGCTAATATCTTAGAATCCCTTAGTAAACATAAAAAAAGCAAGAGAAATCCAAGTGGAGCGAGGAGCAGCAATTAATTTGGTTGACGATGTTAAGTATACTGGAATGCAGAGTGAAAAACAAATTCAAACACGTTATGAGTTAGTCCAACAGGTTGAAGAAAGTTATATTGGAATAGGGGGGTGCTCCACATTATGTGATCTTTGCCTAATCAAAATTTAACAGCGCGCAAAAAAAAAGAAACTATTGTACTACTGATCGGGAAGCGTTAGTGGTAGTCTGTCGCGGTAATAAAATAATGAACTTGTTAGTGTAATTCGATGTAGACCAGTATCTTAATCAATTTATAGAAGTTTACTGGAATTGTTAAAATATTTAGTGAAAAAATATGCCATTACACATGAAAGATATTGAATACGTACGCATAAACTCAACTATTTTACCTTGGCTCTGAAAATGAATTGCAGACAAGTGGAATTGGCTACAATTGAGTCATTCCTGTAAAGCTTGAGCCATAGAATTTTTTGTGGCATCTACTAAGAGAAAATATATGAACAGAAATTTATTGCTAAGTGTGATTACAGTCCACACTAGAAGTAAGCACTTGTAAAGATTTTTAAAACAATGAATAGATGAACACTATAATAGTTGAAGAACTAACCTCAAAAGCGAGCCGAACATTATTATTTGGAAGTTTTTAGATATCATTTTATAGTCTGTTCTTTTAATATAGAGCTCCCAAAAACAGGTTTGTTTTGGAAAGTGTGTAAGTTTTGGTTTGAGAAAATCTCTCTATCTAATAGGAACCGAAGCAAAAATAAACACAATATAACTAAACTTCTTAGCTCCAAATAAAAGATATGATGAATACTATGATTATAAGTAATAATGTCTAAAATGAAAAAAGCTAATAAATTGAAAAAATTATCTTTATTATATAATACAATAAACAAAAAAGAAACAGAAAAAAAAACTATTGTAAAAATATTAAACACAGTCAAATTGGCGTGTTTTCCATTCGTTCTTGTTCTCCTATAACGAAATGGTAAGAGTTTCAAATAGGTAATTTTGTTTTTGTTTTGGTATTCGTTTCTTGTTACCATCCCCTAAGACAGCTACGGATGAGGTATTAGCCCTACTAGAAACTAACTATCAAAATGGTAAAAAAAGGATTATAAAACGAGGGTTCCGCTAATAATATTCGTAAAGGTTTGTAGTAAGTAACAGTTGTGAAAGTACAGCGTAAATCAACAAAAAAAGATGACTTACAGGGTAACAAAAGCAAATATCTATTAAATCCTTAAGCACAAATTTTGAATAAAGTAAACGTAATTTTTACAAAAAATTAGGAAAAAGCTTTGCTTTTCTAAAGTAAAATGCTGGTTTTTAGCTAGCATTGTATTTAAGAGGAACAAAGTGGAACTTTATAACTTCTTTAATATTTAAAAATATTTTTCTTCTTTGTTACGTTGAGCCATGACATCTTTTTACTAAGGTAATACTAACCCCCCTTTTCTCACTACCGCCTTCGGCAGGTTTATTGCCTACAGTAGTTTTTAGTAAAATGTATTACGAACTGTTTTTCTTCTTCGTTATAAACTTTTTTTGGCTTTACCAGTTTTCTAATTTTGCGGACGTAACAAAACTACTAGGCAATGGCTATGTCTAAGCACTTCATAAAATAGTGCCTGTCACTAGTTACCCTTCAGCCAGGAGATTTTGTGTTAAATAACCCTGATTGGGAAAATTGTGTTTTACTATAATAAAAGCCACGTTCAACAACGAAATCAAAAGATTTTCGTTTGGAACAAAGTATTCTTTAAGGCCAAGGTTTATATAAATAGTTTTTAAATAATTTTGCAGCCCCCATCCTAAAAACCTTTAACTTTGAGCTATAGACAAACATCTTTATTTCAAGATGAACATGAAAAAAAGGAGACGCCCGCTTTTCTCCGAAACTTAACAGGAGTCTTAATATAAAACTTTTCTTGTAGATTTGAATGTTCCTCGTATGGTGTTTTAAATAGCTCCTGCAATTGCCTTAAGGGCTCAAAATTATTTTTATCTGCAGATTCGTAAGCTTCAACAAGCATCCATTCTCGGGGAATGTACCTTGACAAATTAAAAATTATCAAGGTAATCTTACTATTATATAATAAGGTGAGTATAGGGCTCTTTTTTAATAATTACTTTGGGTTATTCAATTTCATATTAATAAGACGTTGATTATCATCCTTTTCATTTTCAACGAAATCGGCGTACCGCTTAATCCAGTTGTACAACTTTTTCTATGTAGTTCAGTAATAGGAAAGTTGTATATATATTACGAAATATTCTCTGGAAGTAGTTCAGAATCACACAAAATTAATTCCAAGTATATAAAATTATAAAAAAAGAAGAGGTAACCGCCTTAAATTGGTGCTTTTCATCTTATATATTATAAATTAAAATTTATTAAGAGCTTCGCTATTTGTTTCTTTTAACTACTTATGAAAAACAATTCACTAATAGTTACTATTAACTGTAACAATCTTAAAGACTTTACTAGAACTATTAAATAAAACTGTGCAGAATTTTATGTGGATTTAATAATTTTTGATAAAGGGAATGGGTTGTGGAAATCTTTAAAAGGTTTAAATATGATGACTTTTCGCTACAGCGCTTAAGTCAAATGGAGGAAACACTGGAAAAACCCTAGATGAGGAAGGTACTCAACGCATAACAAAAGTTTTTTTTGCTAAACACACGAATCATAAGCTTAAAAGAAATCTTTTACCAGATTTAAAGTGTATTAGTACAAGCTGGCAAACTACTTCAAAAAACACAATAAAAATATAAAAAACTTTTTTTTCGGCGTAAAATAAATCCAAATCATAAGCAGCTCTGCCAAATATACGAGCGACTTCCTCCTCGGTAAAGGTCTGTAAGGTTTTTAGTGAAATTTGAGAAAGTTCCCGCCAGAAAATAATGTAGTCCATTCCGGGCAATATTTCATATAATGGCGACCTTTTTTGAAATAAATTTAATAAAATAGTTATTGAATTATAAAAGCATGCGTTATAAAAACATTAAAAAGAGCGTATATCAAAAAACGTTAAATACCGCAAAAGTTAAATAATATATATATACTAATAAACATGATATATCTATAATAACAAACAATTACTAAAAAATATAAATAAAAAAGTCATATTAAATTTAAAAACTGTAAGAATAGTATGAAAGTATATAATAATAAAAATAACTTAACAAATAAAAATAATAATAAAAATATATAAGAATTCAGAAATATTTCTATTTTATTATAAGTTACATACCACAAATTCTGATTGGCAGCATCGGACCAATCAGAAAGTCCTAGTTTGCGTTGACGCATCAAATCTCGCGCCTCCAATAGATCTCGTTTGCAATCGTTTTGAAGGACGTCTTGTAATTCGTCTATCATTTCTTTATAGATAAGCATACATCTCATTATTTTAACATCTTCACTACAGAATTGTTATACAAGTTAAACTGGCTAACATATAAAGTATGCCCTGTGTACTTTTCTCTTAATAATAAAGAAAAGTTAATATAGCTTCTCTTTTTTATAATATATATAATAAAGATTAAACAAAGAGCTCAGAGCGTAATAATATATGTGTGTGAAGAATAAAAATAATAAAAGTAAATTAGGTAGTAATAAACTATAATTTACTAAATAATTTGTAATGCATAATGTTTCTTAGTAAAATTACAAAAAGAAAGTTTATTCTTAATTTTTTGTAAAGCATTCCAAATAAATACTAAACTTCATAATAAAAAATAGAAGCATATATTATGTATATTTTTATATTTAGCTATAAAAAAAGTTATAATTATATAATTGGTTTTTATTTTATTAATACATATCAACTTCTACTAATATTTATTAAATTTATTTGACTCATTATAAGAAACAGTACCTCGACTGTCTTCAAAAATTGGCATTAACGCTTTAGTTAGAGTAGCAAAATTTACATAAGAAGCCAATAGCTGCCGTTCAAACCCGAAGTTCTGTTGAGGGTCGCTGGTGAATGGAGTCCACAAAGGGTCTTGGAGTATAAGTATAACGAAAAATAATGAATGAGAAATAATTCAATGAAAACGCTCGATTTTGTTGAAGCAGGATATGATACGTTAATACCAACATATTAGTTTTATCATTAATAAGGTTTCTTGCAAAAGTATTTTTTTAATTTACACCGGTTATATTCCTAATATAAATATTAAAAAATACGTACAAAAATAATAATAAATTTTATATAACTATACCAAAAATAAGTAAAAAAATATTAATTTTAAAAAACTATACTTGCATCACCTTAATAGCAGCATAAGTAAAAAAAGAATCAAAAGAATTAGATAAATTAGAATTGAACTCAGTAATAATTAACAAAAAAACTAAACGGAGCGCATATTAATATATAGCATATAGAGAAAAGTTTATTATTAGTAGTATATTGGATAATAAACAAAAAAAAATTAATAATAATAAAGTTTGACGTTATTTACGAAAATAATTTAGAAGTAGGAAATTACGAAATTAAAAATATTTAAGAATAATCTTTTTTCTAAAACATTATAAAAATGACCAAAAAAAATTGTCTGCCTCTCAACAAGTTCAGTGTATTTTGATGAGTTATACTGCATATAATTACCGTATTTTTCGACGAATCCGAAAGGGCCATAGTCCATTGTGATACCCGCTAGTAAACAGTTATCAGAATTCATGTTTCCCTGTACGTACCCCACACGAAGCCACGCTGCTACCTAAAAATAATTACCACTAGCATTAGACTTTCATGTACTAAAGAGGAGGAAAAGGAAAAAAATATATATTTCTTAGTAAGTATATTTTTTTAAAATAATTATTAAAGCTTAAAAAAATCATTTGTTATTATAAGAATTAATAGATTAAAAAATTACTTTCAAAAAAAATGTAAAAAATAGTTATAAAATAGAAGTTTGGAGAGCTTCACTTTAATAAGAATAATAACTTTCAAAATTATTGGCAGTATAATAAAAATTCTGTCAAACATTTTTTTTCTATACAAACTTTTATCAAATTTTGAAAGTTAATAATAAGTTAAAAAAAGTAACAAAAGCAGAAGTTCTAACTTAATAAATTATAATGATTAAGCAGATAATTAACGATATTAAATAATCGCATACTTTTTCAGTTTTTTTTAGGTTCATGTTATTGGTTTACTAATATTTTTTTTGATGAAAAACTTTTTATAAGATTTTTATTTTTTCATTAAGGATTATTATTATTTATTATTAAAGGTACTAATGAGACATTGGCTAAAATCCGCCTGCGCGCAACAGGTCAGTTAAAACTAAGATCAGACGTGACATTTTCTTATATAAGAAAAATTTAAATAGCTCATTATAGAAAGGCGACTGCACGCAGTATCAGTCACGTGACTATTCCTATAAAAAGTTTTAGATATAGCACAGGGCTAATATTTTTTAAGAAAATTGTATAAAAAATCTAATTTATAAATTAATAAATATATTGAATGTTTATAATTTAAATTCGAGAAAGTTTTAAAAAAAAGATTTAAATTATTATTACTACCTAAAGTATTATTACTACAAAATATCTTCATATATCTTTTAATAATTCAATTGTTTCTATAATTATTATTAAAGGTAAACTTTCTAAAACTATAATAACTTCTTTTATATTTTTAACAACACTCTCTTACGTTACTTTGAGTTCCATGCTTTCCCGCTTTATAAAAAATTTAAAAAATCACTACTTAATTCGAAAGTTAACAGAACTACAAAAAAAAAAACTTGCACGTGTTAATTAGCAAGTAAATGCCTTTAGAAAGACTAAAAACTTTAAGGTGAAAGTAAAAATATTTTTTTACTAAAAATTATGAATTCGACTCATTAAAAAATTACAAGAGCTGCTTGTCGTTTAGAAAAAAGTTTTAAAAACTTTATAGTCTGCTGTGCGAGTTGTTGAGGTTTCATATCTTTTTAAAAAATTCTATAAACTTTATAATTACTATAAATAAATAAAAAAAGTTTACCTTGACTTTCATGTTCATATAAATCTGGAAATTCTCGCTTGAAGCAGTACATAAGAAACTTTTTCATTTCTTCAAGTGCGCCCTCATCTCCTATCATATGTAGAAATATTATATTTATACATTTTTTTAATAAAAAAAATATATTATAAAAAAAGTTTTTAATATTAATAAATACAATATATATACTAATACCGTTCCTAACTTTTCTTGAAAAAAGTTCAATCTGGCCAACCCGCAAAAAGGACGAGGCCGCACGTGTCGTTATGGCACATCTTTCTTTAATCATAAAGTTTGGAGGGAAATTGTACTGCTCGCTGTACGTGTCACTAAAATTGTTTATGCGGAAATTATAAATTAATTATAATTATAAAAATATTAGTTTCTTGCTTTCATTAAACATTGTACAAAAAGTTATTATTATAAGTTTTTTTTTAGTTAGCACTTATTTATAAGTAATTTCCATAAGAAATAGTTATTGAATGAAACTGATTTAATTTAAATTGAAAGTAAATCTCCATAATTTAATTTATATATAATCCCTTGTTTTATTTATTTATTAATAATTTATTAATGACTTATTTGAAAAAAAAGATTTATTTCTGAACTAATTTAATCAAAATGTTAAAAATTAATTACATTTTTAATTTATACAATTCCATCACAGTGTAGAGTATTAAAATTTTAAGTTAATTTTTCTATAAAGTGTTTACTTATTATTATAACTTTTTTTATAACTAAAAAGGAGTTAAAAAATTCTTAATGAGTAGCTTATTAAATTTAATTTTTAAAGAAATAACATAATCCTATTTGATTATTAAATTAAAGAAAACTTCGCTTTCCTTATGTTGAGTATATAGAAGTTTTTAGTAAATTTAATCTAAACTTATAATAATACCACTTTTTAAAAAATTTATAAAGTATTAAAATTTACATAATTAGAAAAATTAAATCTATATAACTAAAATTACTGCGTTTCAGACCTTTTAAAAAATAAAAAATTGGCAAAATCTACATGTGTAAAAATTCTAAATAAAAAAAGTTTATATAATTTCTGTGTAAAAGTGTTATAAAAGAGTTTCTTAAGAAATATAAATTTTTCATTGCTAAAAAAAATCTTTTTAAAGGAATTATGAAAGGTCCATAAACTTTTCAAGATAATATTCAGAAAAAAATATGATAAAAGTCCAAAACTCTTCATCAATAAACACATTATGTTTCCCAGAAAACTGGTTACGCAATTTTTAAAACCATAATAAAGCTTGAATAAATATTTGATTATAACCAAAATTTCTGGAGGGATAATTAAAACAATTTAATTGTTATACAAATAATTATAGTATTATTTACAAAGTTTAAACAAAAAATAAAATATTTATTTAAAAGATAAAATTATGCTAAATTTTTATTTGGTTCTTAAAAAGAATACAAATCTCTCAAACCAATAAATCAATTTCTCTGATATACCTTTTAAACCATGCTCTTTCGACAAACTCTGATTTTGAAGCAACCAAGCAAAGGGCTCTCGTTGTAGGGACCCCTTAACAATTACAAAAGTCGAAAAAAAAAAAACAGAATTTAATAAACGAATTTTTTAAATAAATTAATTAAAAGAGTTCTCAAGCTAATTAAAATTAGGTGAAAATTAATATACTTCGATAAATATAAACCTAAATGGTGCATTGCCTCAGAAACTAAAAATTCCCTAATGCTCGATCTTAAAACAGCTCTACCATCAAAATTTCTAGAGAAGGGTGTGGGACCACTACCTAAATTAAAAAAATTTTAAAACAAAATTCTTATTATAGTTATAAATTTATGATTCAAATAATTACCTTTTAACTGTAACTCGTACTTGTCTGGGCATCTCTTTGTTACAAAATCATAACTATCTTGGTTATTGCTAGCATTCACTTTTACAGTAGGAAATTCCCCAACACTTGCTGCTCGGCCATCACCGTAAGCATAACCATGAAATCTTTACGATAAAAAAATAAATTCGCTAAAAACTATACAATCTTTCTAATATAACGAACGCATCGGGTGAAAGAATCTCCTCCCCAAATACTGAGACTGCGTAGGGTGTACACCAGGCCACGACTCGTTCAAAACTCAAGTTACCTTTTTTAATCAATTTTTAAAATAAATTTTTTCTTTGTAACAATTACGAACAGTCAGCAGAAAATAGTTTAAGGAAATCCTCACTGTGAAGTACGGATTCTGTTAAACCAAGCTCGTCAGCTAATTCTTTAGACCAAGAAACTAAGTATGGCTTTTATATGATACTATTACTTTACTATTATAATTATTAAATAAAAATACTTATCGTACATAATAACGAAAACTATTTACCTCAAGGAGAGGCTTTGGTTCAACTATAACGTAATGACCTTTATAAACTGGTCGCGTATTTCTGTTTGGAAAATACGTGGTTCCTGAAGGATCGCAATCTAATTCTTTGATAAAAGTGTTCTCCCTTTTACTTAAAAAATATTTAAACACTTCATTTAAACTTTCAGAATTTGAGTTAGAAGACATAGCTACAATACTATTTGTTTTTTGGGGACTAAAAGTTGTATATAAAAATATGCTACAGTTCGGAAGACTTGATATACAAAAGGTTTTAAGATTTTTACCACAACAATATATATATCTACGTGATAAACTATAAAAAAGATTTATTTTGCTTTTACTGTATAAGGAGAAAGAACAGATTATCATGTTAGTGGAGTTGATTAAGTAGTTCAACCCCACAACTTATAATTAAAGTTGAAAAGATAAGCCCGAAGTCGGTTAGCTCTTGGACAAAGAGAAGTGCGTATGTGACGTTTACAGTGAAACTGAATTTTTTTTTTCCATAACTTAATAACCTAATTTAGAAGCTGTACATCGTAGAGTAAGCCAATGACTACATTGTAAATAGTTGTTTTATTTGCCCGAATCATTGTTTTATGAGTACATACTCGTTGTTCCTTCTTTTATCCGGACATATAATAAAGTTATTAGTTAATTTCTAAACCTTCTCTTACTCGTCTATATTAAAAAGTTTTTTTTTAACTTGGTTAATAATATAAAGTTGTATTAAAGTCTTTATACTATGATTTACAGAGTTGAAAGAAATTATTATTTACGTGTGAAAATGCTTTTTTGAAAAAGGTAATCGCTATATAGGCTCATTTCTTTAAATTTTTTATTTATGTTACTTCCAAATAGTGATCTTTATCAATTTACCTTGAAGTTACGACATGTTAATTTAAGCTATTAAAATTAATAAATTTTGCCGGGAAAAAAAAAGCCTACAATAGGCAGAAAAGGGAAAGACTGGGGCGTAAAAATAAATATTTTTGGTGGTACTAGAACGTGAGAACTAGCTTACGGAGTTAAATAGTAGAGTACATTCTCATTTGGGGTTGTGGTTCAGATAAGCATACATATGTTGCCTATTTTTTCAAAGTAGGGTAGGTGTGTTTTTATCTAAGATCGATATTACATTATATAGTGATATAGTTGGATTAGTGTATTATGTTATTTTCAAATGTTTCTTTTTACCAACCATGTAAATATCTTTATACCTTTTAGTATCATTTTAGTATTATTTTTATTTACTTTAGAACTGGTTTAAGTAGTAACCAGTATATGAGAAGCCCCACCATCTAAAATTAAAAGTTACACTGAAAAAATATAAATAATTTGCGACTAGTAGGTGCTATCCATGTTTACTGCTTTCCCGGAGTTAATGTTGAAGTGTTAGAATTAAAGAACTCCAATTGTTGAGAAACTGCTCTTAGTCTAGAAGTAGAAAGGGATTTTATTACCATAATACATAACTACCTACCAAGAGGTAGACGGCCATGCATTGCTTGCCAATCTTAAGTATGCTTGCCTTCAAACCGCCATAACTTGTGAGATATGTTTAGAAAGCGAAACTCACAGTTAACTTCAAACAAGAGAAAAGCTATTCTATTCTCGAAGAACAAAGTAGAAAAGCCTCGACAAACCCTTGCTTTATTCGTACAGATAATACCAAGGAGAAGAGAAGTAATTAGGATATTATTGGTTATAGATTTAACTGACAGCTTCATATCATGAGCGCTCAAACAATAGAAGGAGCTGCCCTGCTTTGTATATATTCATATTCTTATATAAAAACAGGCTTAACTTATGAAAAAAAAACTAACTATTTAAAGAATGTTTCTTGAACCGCCTGGTCTTATAAATCTACCATTTCATATTGATTAAACGTCTTAATTTCTTACTTTGATATCAGACTCTTTATGGTATGTTAGAGGAAGTCAACTCTATAGTGACCTGCCTATAACCACTCAATATCTATAATAAACGCTTTATTTAGAAAGCTAAAAGAAAAAGGCTTAAATCCACTCACATAAAGGCTTGATGTGACAACAAATCACCGTCGTTCTAAGCCTTATAATTCGTTGACGCTCATCTACTTATATTTAATTTATAATATTTATTTTTTGCCAAACAGTACTATCTTTACAATAATTTGGGGAAATCCTCTACTGATCTAAGAGATTAAGCAGACAAGTGCCTTGCGACGAGTATGGTTGGGGGTAAAATTAGCCTGTGTCACCCTTCAAGTAGAATTCTGCTTAGCTTAGAAGTATTCCCAGAGCAAAGTTTTGCACAGTATGACTTCCTATAGACGCATGGTCTGTGACGATCTATTCAAATTCAATAATATGTGAGGCTCTTGTGCATCATTTCCGTTCTAAACCTATTAAATATTTTAAAAAAAAAAAATCTCAGAAATTTAGATCCTTTGACCGAAACTTTCAATATCGGTTTTTACTTACAATATTTAGTCGCTTGGCCAAACTTATCTGTAGTAGCCGAGGCACCCGATGGAAAACTTATGGGCTATGGTTTGTAGCAATTTTTTTTCTTTTAATTTTTTAAAACTTTATTAAGTGTAGATCAATATATATTGTTGAATACGGTTTTATTTATTTTCCTTCTCAGTTGAGAAATTCTTTGAGATATTGTAATAACGGGAAGAACTTTTTTTATAGTTAAAAAAATAAACTCCATAAGTTATAGCCATTGAAATTACAATAAAGATGGCTATATAAATTAAATTGTTATAAGTTATAAAGAGGAGCACACATCTTGTTTTAGGAATTTTTATAAAATTTATAGCTTTTTTCGTAGTAATCGGAAAAGTGGAGGGCACTTCAACTGATTTTCATGGCCATGTTACTGCTTTAGCTGTTGCTCCAGGTTTTTAATTTTTAGATTATTACTTTTTTCTCATTTCTAAACGTATATTGTAAGAATTTAAATTTTCTATCCATATTAATTTAATTTATTTCAAAATTTAGAGTAAAGTATAAATTATTTTTATCTTTACTTATACTACTTCTTGAGTATTAAGTATTTTTTTTATAAACTAATCTGCTAAGAATATAGAAGACTTGGACTAGGAGAAAGTTTAATGCATATCCTTGAAGATTCCTCTGAGAGGTCGTTTAAGCTTTAATAATTTTTTTTTTTTAATTTCTAAAAATAAATCTGCATTTACAATGGCGCCTCTTTTTATAATTTATACAATGTAAAAAAAAATTCAATATTTACTTCTTATAAAGAAACTTTGTTAACATTTTACTTTGTTTTACTTACAATTATAATTGTATTTTTACAACTATTTCTTTCAAGATTTTTATAATTTTAATCTAATTTTTTTACTTAAAATTGAAATAAAATTTAATTTTTTAAATTTGTGTACTTTATTGTTAAAATCTGTTCTACTTTTTTACATTTTTTGAATTACTATTTTATAAACACCATTAATATTCTAAAAGTTATCGGATAATTTAATTATATAATTTATTTTTTAGAGTGGATGCTTACTTTGTCGATCTTTTTGTTCGGGTATCCAATGTAGTCGCCATCAACATGTACAAGAAACTTTGCTATGTAGTTTATCAGCGTGTTTTAGACTATTATTCTGGAATTTCGCCTGAAGATGCTTTCGGTTACTTTATTTAGATATTTTTAACGGTTATATAACTTTTTGAAAATTAAATTACAAAATATATTTTAACAATATAAAAAGCATACTTAAAAAAGTCAAGTTAGAAAAATTTGGATCACTATATATTTTATGAAAAACTTCTAGAATTATTAGTATAATTAATGGAATAATATTTTTGCCAGTATAAAAGTTTCAAATTTTTTGTTAAAATTTACAAACATTTGAATCACAGTTATATTTTATGCATGGTTATTAATTTAAGAATTATACATAAAAGTTTTAATAGGTCGCGCTAGTTGAAATTATAATTTTTTTTATTATAAAATATTTTTTTATCGTGGCATCATATTTCGCTTTCTATTTTTTTGGCGTGGAACGGATTATTTGGAGAAAATTTATTTTTATTTCATTTTTTTTAATTTTTGTTTAGTATGTTTAAATTAAAACATACCAGTGTTTACTTACAAGATAATGTAGTACTGATTAACTTTTTTAAAGATATGAGGAAGGCTTTGCCTCGAGATAAGGAAAAAAAGTCTGAAATTCCCAGAGGAAGAGATGTTTACCCCTATGAACTACAGCACTTTTAATTTAGTAATTTACAATAGTTACAAGAGGATTCCCATGTATCGAACGGTATGCTTATAAATTTAATAAAACCGCCAGTAGTTTTTTTTTACATAAATGTATAGGTTTATGCGTTTGTTCCCGCAAATTGACTTCACAGCGGCTACTCTATAAAGCTATCAGCTCTTTTGTGAGACAGTTTAGCATAGGTTTACTGTCAGAGCTTGAGTAGCAGTGGTCTAGCGTCAATTAATATATATTCCGGTAGACAACCAGGGCGATATACGACTCCGCGACCGGTTGCCACAGTAGCATGCATGGCTGTTAGCGCGCCCTCATATCAAAACTCATATTCTAATAGAAAGGAAATTGGAGGGGAAATATTTAAGAGGCATGAACCGCAGACAACTTTGACCAGTAACTGAGTGAAGGTGTTTCATAGTTTCGCTTTAGGTTTTGCCTTCGCTTGACTCCAGTAAGGCGGGCAGGTGGTCCGACGAGAGCCCAAGTTCGCCGATCCAAACCGACAGAGAGATATCTTTTAATACGGATATGTCAAGAACGTGCCATGTGTAGCTCGGCGATGAGGTTCCAGCACGCGAAGAATGTGCTGGTCTGCAAATTTTCTTAGTATTTTTCTGTTCGTTTTTTGCAAGTCGACTATTTCAAGAACAGTGTTCGCAGGGGGACAAGTCGATTTAACGCAGCTGGTCCAGATCATCTGTTAACAGCGGTCTATCGGGAGAGGGGTTCGTAGACAGATATTACATTGGTTAGGTTCATACCAGCCAAAATGAAATGGATTCCAGATGGCTCACACCTTTTATAGCACGACATTTACATTTCACTCAGCAACAGATGCAGAAGTACATTCTTTTTGCAGTGCACGCCTTTGGCTGGGGGGATTTCTAATAAATATTGGCGGAAGTCAAATTGCTCATTGTTTAAATAATGTATCCAGAGCAGCTGCGAGTGGTGTTCAGCGCCTCACCTATTTGAATTAAAACAATAGGTCGTTGTGGTTAAGCGGGTAGTAGTGAACGAAATTCTTGAAAAAGAAGTCGTCAGCGTTACTGGTCGTGTTTTTGCGGACAGGTGGGAAAGAACATATTCCCAAGGATATCTTAAATACCCTGCGGTGTGGGCCTCAACCACAGTTATATGATTGGAAGGCAAATCACGCCGCATGATTAGATGGTCCCCGTCCACTTGACTCAGCTCGGGGTGATGGGCTTAAGTATTTTTTCAGCCAGGCTGCTCGGTCAGCATGGGACGCGAGTGTCCGCCAGTGCATCTCCTCCTGGAGAACTGAAATTCCCTAAAAATCAGAAAAGCTAATCCGGGTAGTCCTGATCGTCTTCTGAAAACATCAGTTCGGCCATCAGCTCCTTATCTACTTTTAGAGCAGGAGCCCCTTTATGTACTTATGTTACTACTTCCCGTGCTTTAGCAGAAGTAACCATGCGATTTAACACTAACCAATTGTTATTACGGTAGATAATGAGCCCTTCCGTAGTTTTTTCTTAACAAACAATATATTTATAAACGTTTAGGTAAAAAGAATTCTTACGGGTGTCCGAGAAACTTACTAATCGTTTAGTCAATTGCACCTTTACTAATTTTATATTTTAGTAGCCTAGGACAAAACGTACGTTAGCTATTTCAAATGTTTTTATAAGTTACATATTCAAAACCATGGCGGTATTTCTAACGAAAGGGTTATAAAAAAATTTTACCTGTCTCCCTCTTTTAGCTTATAATTCCTAAAAAATTTGCTTTTTAACAAATTTTACAGACAGAGAAAGTAAGTTTATAAATAGAAAAGCTTTCGATTAGTTTTTTATATTCACCCACAATTTAGTAGCTAGAAAGAAAGAGAATTTTTATAGATATATAGACTAAAATATATAATACTATGCAAATTTAACTAATTTCTTCTGTTGGCAATGTAAAAACTTCATAACAATGAAAATATCTGACATTCTGTTTTCTGATTTTTATTTATTATCTTTAAGATTATTTTCCTCTTTACTTTGTAGAGAAATCATTTTATTGAACTAATATACAGTTTTTATTTAGGTATAAATTTTTAATAGCATTTGTTGTCCAAGTAATGGGGACAACAGGTTTATAACTCAAATCCTGATGCTTCCTTGTTATGGCTCAGTAAAGTAATCTAATTTTTAATAACAGAAGCCAATTCGTCCAGAGTTATCTTATAAATCATTAAAAAATTATAATAAATATTTTATTACTTATATTTATTTTTTCAATTAAGTTTATAAGTAAAGAAGAAATCCTCACCCGCGCTACTAACTCAAATAAAATATCCCATTACAAATTTCTTTTTCTAATGGTATAAGTAAAAATTTATAAATATGTAATTTTAAAGTTATTACTAGTTGCCTCGTTTTTTAATTAGTAGTATTCTTGCCAGATTTTTATGATTGCAAAAATTTTTTTATAAACTGAAAGTTACTTCGTTAATTATAATTTTAGAATTGGTTTATGCTTCAAATTTTACAAATCTAGTTATCAATACATTTAATTAATTTAAGCGACTATAATTTATTATTGTGTATAAGTAAATATTAACAAATTTAAAAGAACTTTATATAGTAAAAATGTTAAACACTTTTTACTGAATATATCTGTTTTAAATTTTTATATATAATCAAGTATTAGCATACATATTAGCGAAAAACACTTTTAGCCTTTTAATTTGGTTTAATTAAAAGCATTAGAAAAAATTTTAAATTTCTTTGGATTTATAATGACCTGCAAAAGCAGTACTGCTTTCATAAATAAAGTTTTTTTCGTTTATTTTCAAAAACTTTACAATTTCTTAATATAATATTGTTATTTATTGTGTTTTATAGTTATTACAGAAAAAACCCTTTGTAAAAATCTATTATTATTAATAATAAAACTTTGTAAATTCTTAAAATATATTATTTATTATACTTTTTTATAATAATAATTAGTTTAACAACTGAGCTATATGTTAGTTTTGTAAAGAAATAGTTCATTAGTATTTTATTAAAAAATGAAAAAAAAATGTATATATACAAAATGGAAGTTTACCACTCCAATGAGAGTAGCGCAATTGGTTACGTAAATTTCTGTGACATTCATAACGCCAAATAATTGGTGGATCTGAGATGAATACAATTCATGTTAAATCTACTAAAATAAATACTTTTTTTAGTTTACTTTGCAATATATAATAGTGTTATCTATAAAAATTATTAAGTACAAATTATTTGTAGTAAATACAGCGAACCAGCACTTTAATGAGGCAAAGCTAATTTACACCAACCTTAAGCAAAGGTGTGGAGGTCGTAATACTGATAGGTGCATCATCTATTTCGACAAGAGAAAGGTCTAAAGTTTCATTAAAAATATCGTCGTCCTTTTAAATAGATTTACTTAGAAGGGAAAAATTATGAAAATATTGAAGATATTAGCTGGTAACAAAAATATACTAGTAAAAGTGCCAAAAATACTTTTTAAAGTTCAAATAATATAAATTAGAGCAAAATAAAGATTCAAAGGGCCTTACAAATTATTGTTACAGAATAAAAATAAAGAAGTTATAAAAAAAATTTATGGAGACAGCGAGCTATCTATTATTTTTTTCTCAGGCACTAGCATACTACGGCCAGCCGGCCTTTGTAAGAGACATTAAGTCACCTAATTTGATTGCCTCCTTCTGTAGGTTTTGGGGTACGGGCACCCACCAGTGTACACTCCTTATAGAACTATAAGGACTAAACCAAATGGATCGAGAAGCGGGTATCCGGGCTCCCACCATTTAGTTTTATGTGCTGAAAAACCGCTAAAAACCACTACCGGGAGAGGCAGGCGTTGCCAGTCAGACCTCCCCGATTAAGAGCTCCCCGTTCAAAAGGGGAAGCCCCTTTCTATTATTTTTTTATAACTCACCGAATTAATTGATCGTTCAATAACTGACTCACTTGATAACATTTCATCAGTTTCATTGCAGTAAGAGCGATAGTCATTTTTTAAAGGCTTTTGTAATTATTTAAAAAAAAAATAAATTAAAATAAACTGTTATGTTGTACCCTCTTTACTTTAAGTTTAATTACGTTTTCAAGTGCTTGCCTTGTTATAGTGCCTAATTAGAAGGTTAGCGGTATGATTATTAAACTGACTTCTATTAAATCGTAAGAAATTTATAGTTATAGCATAAAAAATATTTTTAAAAAATAGGAACAAGAAGTTTCTTCAAGCAGGAATGGTGCATACTTTTTAAATTTGTAACATCCGTTGCAAAAAAGGGTAGTATATTAACTTTTATATAAGACCACAATTTAAACTTTAAATTTTGTGTAGTAGTTAGAAATTTTCAGCTTATATTTTTTTGTTGCGCAGCTTAAATTACTAGTAACTAGTAGCAGAATTAAGTTAAACAAAAAAGACTTAATACACTGCTAACTTAATAAATAGTAAGCAAACAGAAGGGTAGGTTTATTTTTTATAAAAAAGTGCTTGTAATTTAATATTTTAAGATATTTAAAAAACGTTTAAGCTATTAAAAATTTTTAATTTTGGATGCTTGTACGTTACTCACCAATTAAATTCAAGGAATTGGATGTCACAAGTGGATAGTCCAATAAACTGCTATTTTGAAGAAGGTACGAAATGTGTTTGATGGTCGCGTTTTCATCAATATAAAACTCAACTTTCCTCATTACTTCCCCCGCTGACTTATGGTGACTAGTTGTAAGGTTTAATATAAGTAGTATAAAAAAACAGTTAAAAAGCATTACCCTTTATAAAAGCCTGATATACTGGGCAAATATGATAACTTTTTCAGTTTTATCATACTCTCGTAAAAACTAGGTTTAAGTGCGTGTGCTAGCCCGTCAGCAATAAGAACCTTTTTTTAATATTTATAATAAAAACTCTATGCAAAAAAGACCAGTTGTGATTAACCAAACTTTACTAAATAATATAATTATTTTCAAAACGGTATACATATTAAGAAGTAGCCCCAAGAAAAAAATATAATAGAAAAGTTTAACGCTATAATTCGAGCATCTTTAAGAATAATTGTTTTAATTCAGAAAAGTTTATGGTTAATATCCGGAATTAATGCTTTTATACAAATAAAAAGTATACCGCCAACATTACGGGTATTATATGAGTTATCTGACCAGTTAACTCAAATACAACAACGGACGTTGAAATAGTATGCGTTACCGCTGCAGAAAATGCTGCCGCTCCTAAAGTTTCAGAAAGGAAGTACTTAGAAAGGCAAAATTTGATATACTAAACACAAATAAAGGTTATAACGTTACCAACAACTGCATAACCGCCAGGAATTATGTTCCCAATCTCTTCATCACTATGAATGCCATTAGGAAAGAGTGCTAACATAATCTCACCGACCAGCCGACCGAAAGTAGCACCTATTTTCAACAAAATCTTGAATAGTTTTTATTTTGTACTTGTGCACTCGTAACATTAAAACTATAACTTTAAACAGTTGACTAGATGAGTTATAACATAAAAGATAAGCGCTAACCTTTATACACCGTAAATAATATAAAAAGGTCAAATTAGCAGAATAGCTAGATTTGTTTAGCTTTGGAGTTAATAAAATTTTCTTATTGCTAATGTTGCATTTTATCAAAGTAAACTACTTTTTTTAAAAGTTTTTCACTACTTAAAGTATTTTTATTCTCTTTTCTCACACAAAAACCATAACAGTTGTTTAAGCATTAACTCATGTTCTCCGAAAAATAATTTTCATCAAAATTTTGAAACTTTTTTTACTTCCTTAGTTTAATACCAATGGCACAACGCTTTTAATTACTTGAAGAAAAAAAGTTCAATTTTACCAATAGTAAATACGGGGACAAAAACACCAGCAGGAAATGGAAGCGATACCGAGAAAGCAGTAAATACAAAATGCAATAGAAAGTAAAGAAACAAGCTAGCAAAAATGTTTGGTGACTTCCAAATATCTTGTTGGGCAAGCGAATGTTCATCAAATAACTGGTCTATAACTTCCTTTGAGGGGAGCTGATAGAAAAAGGTAACAAATGGTATATTTAATATAGATAAAGTTAATAGTCTTTTTATTATCAAAAAAAATTTAAAAATCTCAAAAGAGAAATGTATATTACCCCCATGTAAGGCCCTAATAAGTGAGGAAACTTAAGAGAACTGATAACGATTACAATCAACAGTGAATATAAGAAGTTCGCTATTTTTAGGTCTTTGACAGAAAAAAAATTCAAAGTTTTTGGGAGCTCAACCACTTTAGCGTGTAGGCATATAAATAACGCGGCAAACAAGCCTGAGAAGGCTCTTCAAAAGTTGGTAAGACAGTTATTTTAGCCTACAAATCATATTTTAATGGGAACAAACCCTATAAGTAGAAAAACTAAGAGCTCCTGAGCATCATAAGGAAAACGATCGAATTTGGTGGTAAAAACAGCCGTGATAGTTCCTATTTTTTTTAAAATATATGAGATTTAAAAAAGATAATTAGAAGCAAAAATGCTAATACTCTCATCTGCAAACCAGAACGCAAAAAATCTGAAGACTATTGAACCAGAAACTGCCGCAAAAAATCCGCGCCAGTAGTTCCGCACGGGAAAATATATTGCTGTTACTTCAATACTGAACAAAACTCCTTAACCCCCCAACGGAGCAAATAAAGCAGTAGTACATGGTAAATTATGTCTCGATAGATAGAAACCGAACCACCAATGGGCGCAGCAAAGGTGCTTGACACGCCAACAGCGCAAGCTGCCGACAAAGTATCGCGAAGAAAAGATTTATTCTATCATATATTTTTAGTGAGAAGAGGAGACCATACTAACAGTTCAATAACTGTTTGTACATACTAAGCGCATATTGTGATCGCAAATAGTAAACAATCTTTTACAACTAATGCTAGTCTTTTATTATTGACAATTAAAATTTTTATATATTCATGGATCTAAAAAAAGGGCGTATTGCTAAAATGACTGAACGACTTGTAGTCAAAAAAAAGTTTTCGAGTGTCTTCCAGCTCTCCCTTCAAAAGAGGAAACTATTGATTCCCTACGGCATTTTTATTTAGGTTATTGATATAACCTTGACTTTAAGGTGGTTTACCATATTATAAAATCTACACTCGTATCATGTTATATTTATACAACATGCATGTACTGGTTGTTTTTAGATCTCACGTGGCTACTTAACCTTTGCTATACATAAAAACTAAGGTCTAAGGAAGTACCAGCCTACACTTTATCAATAATAAGGGCTGTAGTAAAAGTTATGTACTACATATAGCTCAATCGCACAAAGTGTACAAGCTCATCTCATTTTGGTATAATTTAAGCAATCCTATGAAGAAAAAGCCTTTAATAACCTTGCGAAATTGCTTGTATAACGGAAGAGAAAGCAAAAGTTTAGCTATTATACACGCGATATGCACAAACGGCCCTTCTTTTCCAACGGGAAGGCCACTTCCAACTGCAAGACAAAGTCCAAACTATAAAACGATAATTTTACTTCAAGCTAGTACAAAAAAAAAATAACAAATAACTTCAAGGATAAGAAAAAATTGATTAAAAAAAACTTAATCTTTAAGCGTTTTATATAACTATAAAACTCATGTATTTAAAGTATAATTTATTGTATATAAGAAAGCAAATAAGAAACAAGAGTAGAAGAATATTAATGTATAAAAATCTAAAAACTCGAGAAAAAATTACTATCGTCAAAGCTTGTATTTAAAAATTAGAGAATGTAATTAAACAGCAACATAAGTAGAGATTCTTATGTTTACTAACAAAGAATATATTTGTTATAAGCTCATAGTTTTTCATAATAACATAGATAAAGCGTTTCTGTGATTTCTTATTAATAAGAAGTTTTATATGTAAAAAAAATATAAAAATACCTATTAATAATAATTTATTAGCTACATTATACTTATTTTAGTTCACTCTGATAAACTGTATATTTCTAACTTTTTATTTCAATTTTTTAAATACTTACTGTCTTCATGTTTGATATGCACATACAACTATTGTTTTAATAAGGTTCTCTTAATAGAAATGAAAAAAATATATTAAAAGATTAAAACAGGTTTATAGAAATGTAATAATATTTAACATTATTAATAATGAATTATAATATATTAATTGTGCTTTGAAATGAAAACATACTGAAGTGGCCAAAAGAGCTCTTGAGGTAAGAAAACCTTTAATATCACTGCCCAATAAAATAGTTTTTACTTCAGGAATTCCAGACCCTTAAAAGTTAGCTGAAATTATTGTAAATTTTACAAAAAGAGCATCGAATGCATTAAAAGATTTTATGTGAAAAAATGTTGATTTATAGTTAAGTTAATAAAACTAGATTTAATAGCAAAGGGTCTTCTTTAGTATAACTTTTATAAACATTAAGTTATTATTAAATTTATAAATTATGCAGGAAAGCGAAATTAGTAATGTATATCCCTCTTATAAAAGTGCAAATAAAAAGTATTATTTACTATGCACAGTTATTTTTGTCCAAAAAAAAAAAATTTTTCTATAATAAAACTTTGGAATTTTAAAACTTTTAAAGAGGCGTTAAAGAAACCTCCTTAATGTAAAGTGGTACTGGTGTAAAGGCAACACTTTTAAATAGAGAAGAACAATTAGAAAAATGAATTTTATAGAAAATACAATAGTTGGTAAAAACAAATTTATACTGCTATTTAAAATTATTTATGATCTACACTTTGAATATTATGTAAGTGAAAATCAAAGTCTACACTTTTTATAAGCAAAACCTTGTTATTAATTTAAATAATAAGTTTATGTGATCACACAGATTTTTTATTATGCCTTGCTTTTAATAAATAACACAAGTTGATGAATTTTGTGTCCCACTTATGCTTTAAGACTTAAGCACTAACTTAGTGCATAGGAAACAGTGGATTAAACTATCCTAGGTAGCACAAAATAAAGTGTTTTTTATTGCTTATAGTTGGTTAATCTATAAAGGAATTATATATATAATCAATCTAAGTAACTTAAAAAAGAGTATATATTATTTCATTGTATTGTTTAATTCTTTACTGTACCAAACGTTAATAATTATTTCAATTTGTGTGTGAGGAATTAAAAAACTTACCTATTGCATTTTTTGAAAGGAAATGAGTCCACAGAATTGAAGCTGACGCCAAAAATATTGGCCAAGCAACCCAAAGCAAATATTTTAATATATATTTGTTGCTTAAATTCAGAATAAATTTTGAATGCACTATTAATAAATAGTTCTCTTGATGAAAAGCAGCTTACTTAGTTTAAAAAAACGTAGTTTTACCAGTTATCAGTTTGTCGGAAACTGCATCCATACCAAAGCTTAACAAGGCAGTACTAATCCCAAGGAGGCTTAGAAGGACCCAGTCCGATGTTAATATAAGTTTTATAGCTTTTACTAGAATACTTCCTTCCGGCACTACAATTGTGTGTTTATTAATAATATTATATTTAGCATGTAAATGTCGAATGACAAAAACCGTATTTCTCTTATAATGTCAGCATTATAGAAGTATCAAAAAATTTAGTTAACTTATTTTCCATCTTCCGTTAAAAGAGAGTACTTAACTGTTACTTCCTATTACACCGGAAAGGTATTATACAAGTTAAAAATAACTTAAATTCTCGGCGGTTTCTTATTAAAATGGAAGAATATAAAAGGACTTTTGTATTCATAAATTTATAGTTATTAGATATTGGCAATAACTAGCTTTACAAGTAAAAGCTAATTTTTTTATTGTTGTCCAATTTTGTTAAAGTCAGGTTACTTTTCTTTTAGTACAAGTGAATTCACCAATCGTTTCAGGGAATATTTAATGATTACCCTAAAAAGAAAAAGATAGTAATTTTTACCAATGGTCGACTTAAAAAAAAATTTTTAATTTTCAAAAACCCCGTTAATTGTAATGCAATAACTCAAAATTTAGGGTACAGTTTCGTATAAAGACTAAGCTCATTGCATTATACACTATAACAAAGACGTCCTTTTCCGTCATTGTGCTTAGAATAGTCAAAAAACCGTACTTTTTAAGTTTTGCTAAAAGTTTTTTAATGATAAAGAATAAAAATAATTTTAATAGTAAAATTATAAGCAAATATTATAGATATCCTTAGTAATGCTTGATAATTAAGGACAGCGCTTGTAGTAAGAACAGGCTGACACGTTTTTCGTTGTTATTTTTAGCTCTAGTATGCATAGTTCTTAGTAATAACTATAGCGTCTCTAATCCAACATTAAAGAGAAAGCAAGATAAAGATTATATTGAATTAGCTTGCGCCAACATCAAAGGACTGAGGCCCGGGTTAAGGTAGCCTTATAGTCTTAAATAGACAATTTAACTTAGGAATCCGTTTTTGGATGTGAGCGTACTCTTTCAAATATTCCTCTGCCAGTTGCATACTTTCTTTATAACTATTTTAATTTGTTCCTTTTATTAAGCTATTCCAAATCTCTGTTATGCCCTTCACCTTTTTTTAATTGGTGGTAAGGATCACCCTCTTACAGTTCATAAAACTTAAATGAGTTTTAGATCGATTAATTAACACTTTCTTCTACTTCAAATCTTTCTTTGCTAAACTTAAGCAGAGGGTTATGTATAAGTACTTATATAATTCAAATATAATGACAGGCAATTATAGCTCTATTCAATTATATAAACCTTTTATAATATTCTGCTTAAGGCATATTAAGTCTATTTTTTATTGTATTATTGTGTATGAACCAATAGATTGCTTTTTTTATAATAAGCAAGTTTAACTGACAGTGCACGCCTTCCCTAGAGCAGTCTGGTAACCAGCTAATCAAAAACACTATTAGTCAAGTAATATACTTTTTTAAAATTACTTTAGTAACACCGGAAAACTTTCTTTTAAATTTCAATTATTATTTTTAGAGCATAACTAAGATTACTTTACCATTTTCTCAGCAACTAAAAGCGTCTTTATATAAAATATTGCGTAATGTCATAAGCTAATTTTTTTTTGACTTAATTTGTTTTTTTAAAAAATTTATAATTTTTTGAAATATAAGTTTGCTTTTTATCTTTTTTTTTGTTTATACCCGAAGTTAACGTGAAATTTACATTCAAGTAAATAAGCTTTTTGCATCTTTTAGAAACAACGGTCGTTGGTATTTACGATGCATATGTAAGTTATTGTTATATTAAAAGCACTAAAAGAAGACCAGCTGAGGTTCCGTTGTTCAACGCTCCATGAGATGCCCGCTAAAAACGCTCGGTGAATATTATAAAACAAACTTCCGCAAAAGTACTAATATACCCGAAAACAGTACTGGTGAAAGCGAGCTGTTCCGGACAGCCCAACTAGGAAACCACTTTTTTGATAAGCGACACGGAACCACAACATTGTGTTGTATGAGCAGTTTACTACTAAAACTGCGACTTTTACGGTGGAGTGCCAACGGGGGTGGCTTGCTGAGCTTTCTGCACGTCCAACGAAGGGCGCAACTGGGGCTGAGCAATTAATTATTGTACTGTTTTAACCGTCTTAAAAACGCGACGAAGGCAGTGCTACTTTTAATGACTGACCACAGTGTCTTCTCGCTAATCACAGTTTATTAAATGCGCTGCCGCCAAGCGAATCTCCCGTTATTCTTTGCGTTGCTCCAATAATAAACACTTTGCTTGAGCCAGCCGCGGCAAAAACCACGGAAGTGACTCTGTGTCTGCTAACAACTGCATCATCACCGCACATGACGAAAGGCAGGTCCGAGGCGCTCAACGGAGCTGTTCCTAAGAAAATGCGCTGCGAAACGATATGATTTTTCGTCCAATCATCTGGCTGCCAATCTCGAGAAAGGTAATCGGGTCGGACAAGTTGTGAGCTACACTTAAGTCAAACTCTTTTTTATTCACCCCTGTCGGGATTGTAAAAGTCTAGTGCAACCCACAATATTTTTTTAAAAATAACATATTTTTGCTTTGTTTTTACTTATTCACATTGTGAGCGTTTCTAATTAATCAAAAAAGTTTTTATGAACCCGCAAAAACCAAAGGAAATAAATTATGAAGTTTTAAAGAAATTAGAGTTGAAGATTATTGTTACTTATTAGACATAAATCTTCGATTAAAATAAGAATCGATAATGTTTATAATATATAGTGTCCATTTTTCAAACTTTTTAAATTCGCATAGCATAAAGTTTATTGTGAAAAACTCACGGAGCACGTATTTTTCATGTTTATAGAAAGTTATCTAAAATCCACACTTTTAATGATTTGTTTTTTTAAAAGAAAACAAAACCAATTCAAAATGCTTTTAGATATACTAAACTGCAAAAAGAAAAGTTGTTAATTATTAATAAAAATAGTTTTTCTTATTTGAGGAATCTTCGATAAATTTTTTTTAATAAAAAATATTGTAAATAAAGATAACAAAATAAAGGCAGAATTACTATAATTATTTATTAAATATATTTTTTATTTAAACGCTTTAAGTAAAAAAAAGTAAAATCATTTCCAACATTATAAATATTCATTATTTCAATCTCGAACGAGCAGAGGAATGAAGTGGAGTGCGAGAAGGAATGGCAGAGCACTCGAGATTTGCATTATTCATTAAATATTCAGAAATAAAAGTTGTTGAAAAGCATTTGATGCCGCTATCTTGTAGCTGAATTAAACAAGATTCAATAGACTGGGGATATAAATAATATTAGTGAGGTTACAAAGTAATAAATACAATTAACTTTATAGTAACACAATAAAAATTTCTATTAAATATACGTTACAAATAAATAATAAAATATTGTAAAAGTAAAAATTATATAAAAAGTTGTTATAAAAACTTTTATGAATATAATTTTTTTCACTGTAATATAAATAAACATAAAGTTTATATTAAATAATGTGCTAAATGTAAATTTACATATAAAGTTTTCCTGTTAAAAAAATTATTATATAGAAAACATAAAAATGAAAACTACCTAAAACTATATTTAAATATATTTCAAAAATAAAGAAATCATTAATAACTAAAAAAATATAATTCAACTTTTTTTAAAATTTACATTGCGACAAACAAAAATAAAAATGCTAAGCTACAATTATAGTAATTATTGTAATGAAAAATTTAAAAAAAAATAAGAATTAATAAAAAGTCGTGTTGACATATATATGAATTAAAGTAAAAAAAGAGTTAAAGTTTTAAAATGGAAAACAAAAAAAAATAATAGTAAAGTTATATAAAACTAATATAAAAAAATTTAACTTATATCAAAATAAAACTTTTAATTATGTAAAACCAAAAAAATCAAAAGTTGCGTTAATATAAAATCAGAATCAAAATCCAGAAAGTTTTATTTTTATATGTAAAATTTAAAGGAAAAATTTAAAAAATAAAAATAATTAATGTGTTAATATAAAAAATATATATAAAAGTAATTTTACAATTATTTAAAACTGAAAAAATAAAAAAATGGAAGTTTACTTTACGAATAACAATTTCTTATAAATGAAGTAAATTTTACAAAGTTAAAAAAAAATTTATTATTGTATATATAAAAATTATTTTAATACAATTAAAAAAATAATTTTCGATAGTTTTTTTTTATAATTATTTTAAGACAAAAAAAGTAGCGTTAGTATAAAAATAATAATAATAAACGTTTAAAATTTTGTAAATTAATAAAAATTATAGGAAACTTAAAAAGATTATAGTATAATTTTCTTATAGTAAAAATCTTCGTGAAGTATTGAAAATATTAACAAGCTTTAAAAAATAAAAAAACAATAAAAAAAAATATTAATAAAAGAGAAATTAAAAAAAATTACTAAAATTTTTTTTATATATATAAAAATTAGTACAAGCGAAACTGAGGGATTTTTAAAATTTACATATAATATCAAAGAAAAATAAATTAATAACAATATATTTAGAAGTTGGTTAAAAATAAGTAGAATTAAATCGTTTTAATTTAGATCAAAAATAATAAATTTTATGCCAAAAGTAAATTAAAATAATTATAAATATAAAATTAACAATAGAATAAACCACAAAATAAAAATATTTTACAACAAAATTTTTTTTTTCCAGCACACTAAATACTTTATTGACAGCTAAAGCCTCAAGATTGAAGAAGGCGAGCTCCGCTTTTCTTATAAGTTCGCTTGAAAAAGGAGGGCACGAGGACAGTACTTCAGCACCGCCGGCCTCCAGTAGGCGCTTTAGGCATAAAACCTTTTCTTCTTCAATGCAGATTAAAACCTGTTTTACAAAAAAAGTTGTTATTTTTATAATAGTTCTTATAAACGTTTTTTTAATTATTATAAAAATAAAAATATAGGATTGTCAATAAAGAAATTATAAAAAGAATTAAAATTTGAAAATGATAATAGAAAGTAAAATCTGTTAACAAAAACTATTTAAAAATAATTCAATAAAAGTGTTTATTCTTCTTAAGTTTTTATTATATAAATTTATTAAAAATTCACTTCTATACTTTTAAAGTATTTCGCTAATTTATATATAAACTTTTATAATTCTGATTTATAATAAAATAAGTTATAATAGAATTTTACTACATAAAATTAAACTTTTATGATATTTATTAAAAGTTCTTTATAACTTATATCTCTTTCATATAAGTAAAAAAAATATTAGTACCCATAAAAAAACGGAATAAATATTATAAATTTATAAAATAACTAAAATATCACTTTTAGGTCGCTCTATATATAAAATATTTGTGGAAAAAGTTAATAAAAAACTTTTTATTTTTATTTTATTAAAAAAATATTTTACTTTATAAAAAAATATAAAAAAAATAAAGTTTTTAATTTTTATAATATTTACTTAACCTTCCAGCCCAAAAACGAACCAATCTTCTTTGAAGTAGCGAAACTTTTCCTCCACTTATGAACGGCACATACTAAAAGCTCTTCGGATTCGTTATCTGTCACGTGCTACAACAATGTAAAAAAAAAGTTAAAAAAAATTCTTCTTTTACCTTTAACCATAAATATAATAAATATAAATAAAGTTCTTAGCCAATGCTGCCTGTTATAAAAAAATATATATATATATTCAATTTGGTTATATTTCTAATAATGGACAGGAAAAAAAAAATTATTATTTAAAAATTTAAATTTCATAAAAAAAAAGTTTTATAATACAAATTTATAGAAAAAAAATTTTACTTTTCAATAAAATAATAGTATAAATGTTGTAAGGGTCATAATAACTATTATTATGGTAACCTTCAAAAATATTTAGTGTTTCATCTACTGTAATAGTAAACTTTTATCATATTTACTTAAAAAAAATTTTATTTGATATTAAGATGTTTAAATTTTATTAAATATTACTTTTTGTCAAAAATATAAATAGTAGTATTTATTAATAATACTAAAAGTACATATAAATATATTAATCATTTTATTTATAAATATTGTAACTTTTAAATTACTTGCCGAACTATTTTTATTATTTAATTCTTTTATTGTTATTCTTACAATACTATTATTTAATTTATAATTATCTAATTTTATTAATAAGCAGTAACTATAATATTATCACCACTATAATCATTACAAATTTAAAAGTTTCTTATATAAAAAATTTAGTGTAAAGCCTATCAATATACATATTATACTGATAAATATTTTTTTAATGTCAAATACTTTTATAATTACTTTATTGAGTTTATTTTGTTATAATAGAAAAAATATTTCTTTTAAAAAAATTATTAATTATAAGCTTTATAATACTTAATAAAACTTTATTATTTACAAAATATATAATTGATATTTTTATTTCGTTTATAAATCTTTATATCTTATTATATTAAGTTATTAATATTTTTAACAACTTTTCTAATTGTAATAAAAATTTAATAAACATTTTTTATAGGAAACCTGTAAATTCCAAGCGTAGTCCTCCGGAGCGCATAACTTATTTTCTCTAGCGCACGCGTCTATATAAGAAGGATGCAGGATCCACCTGCCTGAAGCAACAGCTGCTAAAAACTTTTCGCTTTGGGTAAGTCGTTGGATAATCTAATAGAATTACATAATCGTAAAACAATATAGATATATAGAATTTTACTAATAATAACAATGAAGTCGTAAATAATAATAAATAAGTGAAAATAATGTTAAGTTTTATTACAAATTTATTACGAAAATTAAAAAGTATTATAAAATGTTTATTGTAAACCAAATTATTATAAAATGTATAACTAAAGTTATTATTAGTAAAAATATTCTTCAAATAAAATAATGTAAACTGCTTTCATGAAGTCTACTCTATAAAAAATGTATTTAACAAAATAAACAAACTTTTAAAAAGTATTAAGAAAAAATTAACCTCATAAAAAATATTAAGGAAAAGAACTTCTACTATTATATATAAACAAATATATAAACAAAACAGGAAAATTATATATATATATATATATATTATTTATATGGTCTTAACAAGGTGGGTACACTCCTCAACATAAAATGGTGTTATTAAAACTTGAGCGCCCAAATTCCTTAAAAGAGTCGATGCGCGCCTTTTTTGCTCTGAGTTCATTGCCGACAATAAAAATGTTGAGGTCTTTCCCTCCAAAACTGTCATAGACTGAGAGACTGGGAAAACCGCTAACTTCTTCTTTTCTAAGTCGTTAGTAATAAAAAGTTAGAAGTATAATATAAATTCTTATTATTATTATTACTAACTATTAGTAAGTCTTTCTCTCAAAAGTCTCCCAGATTCATCGCCATAAGTAACAAGTTCGGCGTTCATTTCACTAGTATAGAGGGAGACTCTACTAATAAATTATAATAAAAGTAAAAACCAACAAGGAACCAAGTTTCCTCTGAGAGGCAACCTTGAGAAACTTCATGATTATTGGTAGCCGGGTAAGTTGCTATTCTCTTGCGGGTGCGTTTCATTCGCTTTAACTGCTGGGGCAGATTTGCTGAGCCAATCATCTCTTTAAGCGCCGGAAGAGCAGAATTTAATGATTGGTTGAGCCCTTCAATGATGTCCTTGAGGGGAGGATCACCAACAATTTGTGTAGGCGGGTAGTATTTTTCATCGACGAGCTTTTTGTAGAGAAAAACATCTCTTAGCCAATTCCCAGAAACAACTTTAACACTTTTGAACTCAAGTACTGATTCACTGCCCATTGAAAGAATAAAAATTAATTTTTTAAAGATCTAATTAGCAATGTAAACCTCTTGATTGGATGGTGAATGACGTGGGTGCACGAGGAATCAAAAACCCACATGCACGTGCCACCCATCCTAAATTTGGCTAGGAATTAGTAATGAACATTGTCAAAAATGATAACAATTTAGTTATAAACAAGTGTTGGTTCATTATAAAAGTTGAACTAATTTATTTTTTCTTTTAATGCGAACAAAAAGTAGCTTCAATTCAAAATACAAAATTAACACAATAATAAGAGAGTAGCAAATAAGCAATAAAGGCAGCCTGCATAATAAGAAACGGAATCAAAATAACGTAAATGTTGCAAAAAAGACAGTAAAGGACGTCCGACTGACAAAAAATATATAGAAAGAGAAAATTGAATTACAAATTAACAGTTAGTAACACCAAAAAAATAGTTGGTATCAAAATAAGCATACTTTTTAACGAGACAGTACCACTCTGCCCCACTGGCGGATTTTCTTAAATCTTCAGTAACAAAAATTCTTTTTTCCTGCAACAAAGACGAGCGTAAGGATTGGTCGTCGCTGTACTCATCAAACCTGGAGAAAAAATATTAAAAGCATATTTTTCAGCTAAGTATATAATGAAAGTTTTTTTAAAAAATTAATAATAAAGTAAAATATTCGCTCTCGTTAACTTTAATAAGTAATAATATACTAAGCTTACCACCAAGTTTTAGAAGTTTCCGGAACAAAGGCTCGCTTTTCTTGTGTTCCTTTTCCATTATTTTTATATAAATATAATAATAACCAAATAATAACTAATAAATACCATCAAAGTTGCCGGCAGAAATTTCATTATCCCCATGGAATAAAAATGAACGTTCGGGAAATTTTTGAGGGGTAGAATGAAAATAATCCGGTTTAATTTTTTTTTTTATTAAAGCCGCTTTTGGTGAAAATGCGTCTGTATATAATAAAATATTGATAATAATAAATAAAACATAATAATAACAATAAAAGTAAACATAATAACTTTGTTCTTTTTTGCGTTTTTTTGGGGTAAAAAATATATTAAGCGAATCCGAAAAGTGTGAAATGCCTGCATTTACTGTTAACTCTGAATTATTCATGACATGTCCAAGTTCAAACGAACTCGCTTCAGTAATATTGATAATAAAAATAATTAATAAATAAATATTAATAAACTAACTTTGCACTTTTTCAATGGAGAAAAAAGGCGCATCTTGAAGGGATTTCGACGTATTCTGAGTGGCTAATTCTGTAGAATTCGCGAGATCAAAGGAACTCACTTCTTCCATATCTACTCATTATATAAATATTTATTAGTAAAAAAATTGTGAATAAATAAAGTTTTTATAACAATAAATATATGACCAAAATTTAACTTTTTTAAAGCAGAAACAAAATATATTTGTTAATAAAAAACACTAAATATAATAAGCAGGAAAAACAAAGAACTATCAAATGTATAAAATTATCATAAATTATTTAAATCAAAAATATTGTAGCAAGTGAAAATTATATGTTAATATATATGTTTAATGCACCGGAAGAACCCAACGATGTGAGGGAAACTTTTTTTGAAGGACTTGGTTTCGCGCTTCCCGGGTGATAAACTTCGCTCGTATCAAGTATATTAATAAGCGTCGATTCGTTATTATTAATAGTTTCCCGATGATTATTATTAGTATAACTTTTATTCCTGATATTACCATTATTATTGCTGTTATTGGGATTATCAATAGCAATGGTGGCAGTTTTCATTAGAAAAATTGAGGTGCTCATATTATAAATATCATGAGGGGTTGAATTATTATTATAACTTTTATTATTGTTATTATTATTATAATTACTATTATTATTGTCAGTAACAAAAGTATTTGTGTTTTTTTTAAAAACATTAACACTATTGCTCAATGCATTGTTAGATTTACTAAAATCCTTAGTTCTAAAGGAACTACTATAAATAAAAGTTACTAAAATAACAATAATAGTGATAATAATATGAACTTCATTTCCAACACGACACGAAAAGTATTATAATCGGCCAATTCTCCAATTTCCAGAGCCTTGTATAGCCAATCAACTGTTAAAAAGTTTAACAAATTCATTAAAAACGAATATAAGAAAACTATAATAGAAAGTAAATAATAACAAATAATAAAAATAAATAATAATATAAAGGTTTATAAAATTGTATTAATCAGTGTAAAAAAAGCAAAAATTTATAAAAATCCTAAAAACAACCAACCAGTAACGCAATTGACTTTCCATTTTTGTGCAAGTTGATATTTTTTTAAGGAAACGGAAGAATCACATACTAAATAATAATAATAAATTTAATATATAACTATATAAAAATTTAACTAAAAAATATTAATAATAATTAATAATAATAAACTTTAATATGAATACTTTTATACTACTTTACGCTAAAACAATTAATAGTAAAAATTATGTAAAAAATTATAAAAACTACCTAACACGTGACATAATCTTGAAAAATCCTTTAAGGTCGTCGTAGTTACCAAAGGTATATAATTATTAGTTTATTTTTTATATTTAATATAATTTATTAAAATAAAAAAAATTTTAAAAAAATTTAATTATTGAAAAAAGTAAACAATTGTTAAAGTTCGTTAAATAAATAAAATATAGTATAATTTTACAATTTTTATAACTTTTTTTTACGTCATTAATATTTTTTATAAAATCATTATTTATTTTTTTCAAGTTTACTGTTTATTCATATATGATTTGATAAATTTTATGAAACATGTGGCTTCGAAAAGTAAGAAAATAAAAACACTAAAGATAATTGTACAGTACTATTGTGGTAAAATAAAATAAATATTTATATATTTTAATTAACTATCATTAATTTCTATAAATTATTTACTAACCATATAAAAAGTAAAAAAAAAATTTAATAAAAAAAATTCAGTTAGAAATATTTTTAAAAGAAAAAAAATGTTTATATATATCATGAAAAAATATGTAAACAATTTTATATTATAATTTTTAGTATGTAGAATAGTAAGGTAATACGTAACAAAAAATATAAAAATAAATAAATGATATTAAACATATTGAAAAAAAAAAGAAAAATGTTAAACTGAATAATATATAGTGTATATTTATATAACACCTAAAAATATAACAAAAATAAATATTTATTACTCTTAAAACCTCAAAAAAATATAAACTGTAAAATATTTTCATACTAAAATTTAAAAAAAATGTTTTTTATACAAAACTTAAAAAAGCATAATAGAAAAATTTATTAATATTATTGTTATAAAAAAATATATTTTTATATTATATAGAACTAACCTTATGAAAAGTAGCTCCCAATATGTTTATTAACTTTTCTATATGAACTCTTAATTTTTAAAAGATAAAATAAGTAATAATGATGAAAAGCTTTATTTAAACTATGATCCAATAAAAAATATATCTATTTATGTCAAATATGTTATTATTATTAACCTTTCAAGTCTGCCAAGTCCCGAAATTGATATATTAATACTTTTAAAACTTGAAAACGGGAATCTTTAAGGAAATTGATAATAACGTTGTTAAAAAGTATTTATAAATATAAATTTTTATAGTTATATAATAATAATAATAAAAGCGAAAATAAAAGATTATATTATTGTATATAATTTAATAACGAAACTATTAAAGTATAATTACATTTTAGCACACATAAATATTACTAACATTAATAAACTTTATAAAAACTAATTCACAAAATTTTATTATATAAATATTAAAATAATATAAAAATGTATAAGATATTTTTTTATAAACTTTTTATTACGTTGTGCTGGTCTCTAACTTTAAAGAATCACAAAAGAAATCCACAATAGTTTATATATTTTTATTAATTTCTAGATCTTGAATAATTCTGTTTGGTAACAACTTTTCCAGTAAAATGTTTTTTAGTAAAAATGAAAAAAATATTAATACGATAAAAGATAATATTTTTATTAGAACATTATAAACTTTACAGTAGTAAAATATAAAAATGTTCAAGATTTTGTCTTCTAAAATTTATATATGCAGAGCTTTATAAAACCATTAATACCAATATTTTAATAAAATATTATAATATTAATCACTTACTATTTCCTTTAATAAAATTTATTTTATTATCAAATAGAAAAAGTAGTATATAAAAATAAATATAAAAGTAAAAGTATAAATGTAAAAATATTATATTTCTATTACACTTAAATAAAAATAAAGAGAGAAATTAATGTAATTAAAAATATATAAAAATTCCTTCGTCATAACTTATTTCTAAATAAATTTGAATAGATAAAGCAGGAATCGGGAGAACAAAGCTGGTTTCGAGATAAGCATGCCTCCAACCAGAACTCATTAACAATTTGTTTATGCTAAAGTTATCAAAAAAAATAATACAAAATGTATAAAGATAATCTACATTTATTTATGAAAATAAATAAATGTATTAACTATATATAATTATAATTATCAAAAAGAGGAAATTCTTTATAAAGATTTTTTATTTTATTTTGGCTTATAAACGAATACAGTCGTATATAAATTAATTTTTATTAGCCTAAACATTCAGCGTTAATATTCTCAATAAAATAGTATAACTTTCAAAATTTTTAGATAAAAATTTGTAATAGCATATAATTGATAATTAAAAAAGTAAACTTCTCTTAAACAAAACACAGTTTTAACTTTTATAAAATATTTTTTATTATAAATATTATAGTAAATCCATTAAACTATTAAAATTTAGAATTATTAATAAATACAATTTTAAATAAATTTCTTTATTTTTTACTATTAAGTTTCTTATATAACTCTAAAAGTCTATAAAAAGCATATACAGAAAATATACAGTTGGCATCAAACTAAAAAGTTTAAAAATTCCCAAAAATAATAAGTAAAGTTTATTAAAATATTAACTATAAAAGTTTATTAAAAGTTACTATAAATAAATTATTAATAATAAATAAAACTAATTAATTTCACATGTTAAACAAATATCTTAAACATAATAATAAAATAGTATAAATGCTTTTATTTTCACTTGCTAAACAGAAATTATAGTAATAACAATAAGTATCACTTTTAAATATAAAGTGGTGTTGTTCTTATTTTCTTTTTTATTACATACTTTTATTAAAGTTATTATACTTATTAGGTTTATTTAAAACGTTATTATTATAGTGTTAAAAAAATAAAAAATAAACACCGAATGGCAATCACTGATTTGTGTAAAATCTGCCAATCCAAATGGACAAATTAAAAAGTCACATGACCCACTCTTATTGAAAACCCCGCCGTTTTTCTTTACTATCCTAACAATTGCCTTTGTGTACTCCTCATCAAATGCTTGAACGCAAAAAGTTTTTTCTTCAAAAGTTTCTAATAAAAACAAAAATATATAAAAATTTTATATTATTTTAAGAAATAAAAAATTTAACGTGTTTTTTTCTTTCATTACGAAAAAATATATATATATATTTTCTTTAATATTTTCTGATTTATAACATATATATATTACAGAGAAATAACTATATAACGTTATAAATATACAAAAAGGTTACTAACTTTAAATTTTATTTTTTATAAAAATATAAATAAAAGTTTGGATTTTTTTTTTTAATAACGAAAAATATAAAATATTAAAAAAATATTTTTCTAACAAATATTATTCGATAAAAAAAAACGATATAAAGTTAAAAATATATAAAAAGTTACTAACTTAATATTTTAGTTTATATATAATAAATTTTTAAAGTTTTACTTGTTTTTTCTATAAATAAAAAATATTTTCCTTGAAAACTTTTTGCTATATAACAATAAATATACTAGAGAAATAATGATATAAATTTTATAATAAATACATAGAGTTACTAACTTTATATTATACGTTTTTATAAAAAAATAAATAGTCTATTGAAATAATGATATAAATTTTATAATAAATACATAGAGTTACTAACTTTATATTATATGTTTTTATAAAAAAATAAATAGTCTATTTGTTTTTTCCTCACATAATAATTTTAAATAATATATTTTTCTAAACAAGTTTTGAAAATATAATAAATAAAATTCGCTAGTATTATAACGACTTAAAGTTAAAAATTATACTTTAAATTTTATGCTTATATAAAAAAAAATTTCAAAAAGTTCTACTTGTTTTTCTTTTAAGAAAGAAAAATTTTAAACAAATAAAAAATATATTTCTTTCTTATATTTTTAATATATTACAAATATATAATTCCAAAGAAAAAACGATTTCATATTAGAAATATACAGAAAAAGGTTACTTAATTTTAAATTTTGTTTTCATAAAAAAATACATAAACTATAAAAAAAAAAGAATATTTTTAAAAAGTTTTTGATAGATGAAAAATAACTTTCGTTTTGAAAATTTATTTTATCATTAATAAATACACTTACAACAATTTACTAAAATTTACTTTTATAAAGAAAAATATAAAAGTCTTATATATTATCAGTAAAGTTAAACAAAAATTTATTACTGCGATATAAAGTTTAAAATTTTTATTATTAATTTTGTAATTTTTTTTTGGTTTTTAATAATTTCATTAAATTTTTATATAAAAGGAAAACCTCCAAATTTATACCAAAAACAACCATAAAAGTATTATATACCCATTACTCTTTATAAATAAAGTATTAGTTTGTATACACTAATATTATTATTATTTAAAAACTATTACATACTATTTACTTGCATAAAAAAAGTAACTTTTATTCTTTATTGATTAAAAAGAATATAATTTTTAATATACTTCCCAAAGAAAGACACCGAAAATAAAGCCAACGACCTTAATATTTATTTAAAATTGTAAAACTACTTTAATATAATTTTTTTTTAAAAAAAAACAACTAAATTTCTAATCATGAAAAGTAAAATTCTAAAAAAAAAAAAAAATTAATTGAATTTCTAATTCACTAAAAACACTAAAAAAGTTTTAAAAATCAATTTTTGATAAGTACTATTTTTTTCAAGCAAAGAAAAGCCTTTCTGTTTCAAGGCTTCCAGCAAAAAAAAATCTTCGTCGAGGGGGACTTGAAGGCGGATTGAATGCAAAAGCCAATCCTTAGAAACGCAAAGAACTCCCCATCGCCAGCCATGCTCAAATTTCAAACCTTCGGGGCTTTCGCAGATTAGATGAGTACAGTTTTTATGAAGTTCAGGAGTATAAATCCCACCGTTAATTTCAATCAACTCTACAGAAATTAATTAAACAAGTTGAAAATTTAAAAATTTTAAAAATTAATTTTTATTTTAAATATTGAAGTTAAAGGTTCAATAATATGGTTAATAAAGTGAACTTAATAAATATTCAAACAATCCTTAAAAAGAATATATATTATTTAAAAAACTAAAATTAAAACGGTAACCTTACAACAATTCAAAAAAATATATAAAAATTACAAATAAAATTTAATACTAAAACCAAATAAGATATAAAAATAGTAATAATTATATAAAAATTTTAAAAGGAAACAAAAATTAAAGTGAAAAACCCCTTTAGTAATAGTACTTTACAAAGCTAAGAAATTTTTATTAAGATGATTTTATATAAACAAGGTACCTTTCAATTTAATTCTTTCTCTAGGCTTTATTTGGGTTACACAAATTGTATACCCGAAAAAAGGCTTCCACTTTCGGTGGTTCCGTCGATTATCTTTGTCACAAACTCTAAAAAGGCATTTTTCAAAAGCTTGTTTCCTATAGTTCAAAGTAAAAATAAAGGGAAAAAAATTAAAAGTAAATCATAATAGAATTAGTAGCCAGTGAGACTTTAATGGTTTAGATTTCAATTATATTTTATTAAAAATATAACAGTAAGCACAGTAAAGTGTTAACCAACATAAATCCAGCCACTCTTCTTGCACCGAAACAATCTTTTTGCTTGCTGGAACTGGAACAGTAGAATCTAAAAGAAAATTTTTGTTTCCAAGTTGAATAGTCACTGTTTCATTAAAAAAATCTGAAGTTCTTCCTCCCATCCAATGAATCTTTATATAGAATGATTGACTTAAAGAAATTTGTGTAAGATTCTTAAGTAAATAAAAAAAGTTACGCCAATATTTCTATATTATCTTTTATAGAACTATCTAAAATTTTCCTGAGGTAATATAAACACCTTATCCTTTAGTTCTTTCTCTTTAGCTTCAGACCATCCAGTAACCAACACGTTCTCGTTTTCTAAACATAAACTGTAACAAGGTTGGGTAGGCAGCTCTCTAGTCTATAAATTTAATATATAATTTTTTATATGCTAATACTTTAAAAAAATTATGAAATTTATAACCCAACTTTTATTTTCAATGCTTTATACCTGATCATAAATCCAAGCACGTAAAAAAGGAACTCCTATACATATTAAGTCATTGCTTATTGAATTTATATTACTTGATGTTGCGTTAAAAGTTTTAAAATCGAAATAAGGGAACACAGCTAAAAGAATCTTAGGTTTTACGCTTAAATTCTTATTCTTAGAATGAAAAGAAGAGACAGTAGAAAAAAGGTTTTCTAAATTAGTTTCTATTATATCCGATTTAAAGTTCCTCTTTATTAAATATAATAGATCTGCAGGGAAATGCCCAGGTTGGAAACAGTGTAGGCAACTATGTCTGGCGTCCGTTTTATTTTGACAGCTGTTGCAAGTGCTTTCTTTTAGGTAATGTGAATTGTTTAAGTGAATAATAACAAAAGCATAAGAGGAAAACCGCTCGTAAAAGCTCATCTGTTAGATAAAACAGTTTTTCGAAAGGGCAATAAGCACTTCAACATCATGTAAAAAGTTCAAGCTAACTTAACAAAGTTGTATTAAATAACTTTTGTATCGCACGCACACATTAAGCGTATCTAGTAAATTTTAAAAAGCTCACATCATGCGCCACTCAAAATGTCTTCCTTGCATGACCTCAGTTAACTGCTAAGACGCAAGAAAAGGCGCTTATTAATTATAACAATGAACCCTTCGCGCTTATGTGTTTTGGTTCGAGCTAGTAAATTATTAATATTATAATTTAAATATTTATAAATTAATCAAATTTACTAAATTAAACCCTTGTTTTAGGATTATCTTCTAGGGCAAAATTCAAACATTTACTTTAAGTCCGTGTACCAAGTTTAAAAATTATAGACTTTTACTATGCAGAACCTAACAAGTATTTTTGTAAGCACTCTTTCAAATATAAATATATACTAAGGTATGGAATGCATTATGAAGAAAGTCATTTTTTTATATAAGCAAAACTCTTTTTAACGTAAGTTAGAGCATAGCGAACGGGTGAATTTCTTAAAACAATACCGACTTAGCAATTTATTTACCTTGGAAAAAAGAAAAGCGATTACCAAGCTATGCTAAAAAAACAACAGTTTATATTATTCGTGAGATTGTAGAGTTTAGGAAATTAAATTTTATTTAACATTATAAAAAAACAGCAGCCCTCGTGAGTCTTTTTTCTTTTCCACATTAGTTTCAGTGTTTTCAAGGAATATTGTCAGCTACTTATCAAAATAATTGCAGTCTAAATTTTTTCATTTCATTATATTATACAAAATGAATTCTAACTATATTAAATTACTTAACTAATTTTATATATATTATAGTTTTCAAACCTTCAGACTTATGTAACTTAATTTTTTGGGTATTTTTAAACAAAATGCGAGTTCCACTAAAACTGAAAAAAAGTAATAGTTGTAAAGTGTAAAACCTCTTTTATTTTTAAACATAAAATTTATACAGTGCACTACAGCTATATTATTAGTACAACGTGTTTTATATAATTTACACCATAAAATATTGACATGATAATACAAACTTGGTAGAGAAAAATTCTGTTCGGAGGATCCTATGCTAACTTGTGTGAACTATACGAGCTCGCCCTCTAATCGACTGTGATATAATTTTTTTTTAGGTGTTTTTACACAAAAAGGGTAAACCTAGCTATGTTTAAGATAGAGTGACTTTCGAAATCACATCCCACACTTTTTTAATAAATAATAAAAACATTGCGAACTTGAGTCTGTAAGGGTTAAGACTTTAACTAATGTAATTTAATAATGTTCTATTCTATAATTTCTGGAAAAAAACTAGAAGGGTGTGCAGCGCTATTATATAAACACTTATGGCAAACACTCTTTTTTAAATAATACTTGCACGACCCCAAAGAGGTATTTTTTTTTAAAAACATCTGTAGAATAAAAAAATCCATTGTGCTGGACCTCTCTAATTCTTCTCATTAAGTGATAAGAATCTAACTGGCATTCTTATTTTCTTCAAAAAAAGATTGTGCTTTATTTCTACAACTAAAATTTGAATACTGTTTAGATCACAGTCTCAACACAATTGAGGACGGCCTTACAAAATAGCCTCTTTTTGGAGAATATGTACTAGGCCGTAGTCCCTTTCCCTTGACTCCCTCGTTGAAAATTTGTTGAAAAGGTAGACGTACTTAGAATCTCTATCCATTGCTTCACTAGACTAACTACAAACTATTTATTTTACTGCTCGCTATCAAAAAAAACTAAAACCCATAAACATTATAAAAAAAGAGAGGGAATGCACAATAAAAGTCTGGAAAAACGTTTAATAAAAGGACTTTCTTTGGAAACGATTACTATTAAAAAATTAAGTTATGAGTAGCACCATTTGAAAACCATACTAGCCTCTCAGCTGATATACCGCGAAGCTCTTTTAAATCTTAACTATTCATAAGTCACACCTCTCATATCCTTTTCGAAGTTTTGCTCTCTGCGTTGTTGATACAGCAATTATTTGAACTTGGTAAGCGTAGTTTAGTACCCATTGACTGTAGCCAGAAATAGGTTTACTGAAGACTTTTTACGACTAACCGAAATACTAAATTAAGGTATAGTCGCGTTGTACAAGCAAAGCTATATATTTATCATAAAAATACTAATTTGCTTTATCTGGTTTTCCTAATTTAGTTGCTATGGGCTATAATTTTTATAAATTTGCGTGAATCTGCCTAATTAATAGCTTCCATGAGGCGCTTTATTAGACTAAAAACTTTACGAGTATTATTGCAGCTTAAGCAGGTAAAAAATAGCGTAAAGGTAACTAGCAGTCTGGTAACAGTTTAACGTCGACAACCTACGGCCCCCTCCCCCAAATTTAGTACTTAGAATAATAATAGTAGTACTAACAATTGCAATCGTTTCCTTTCGTATGGTAATAATAAAAAACATTACAGTGATAATTTACTTAGAATGAGATAACAGGCAATTCATTCTAATAAATAACCATGATAAAGTGGTTGTGTAGGATTTTTGCTTACTCTAACCAGTGTATTTAGAACTCGTCTATTAAGGACAAAACTTTACGCGTATTAAAAAATTTCCTGTACGTCTTTTAAGTAGTAGGAAGTAAATAGGGTCGTCCGGGCCTTTTGTTTAGCATGAAGGACTTATGTACCTCGTTTTTTTCTTACGTGAACTACGTATTTTACCTTTGTTTCTGGTCTCTCTGAGTAGTTCCTTAAATAGTGTTAACAATTTTGGTATAGAGTACACAGTCTAAGAGATAGAATGCCATATCGTTAATTTAGTTTTCAAGTTATTTCATTTTCATTATGTGGTTTTTGCATCATAATTTGCAACTAGAGGGCTAATATGAATTGGGTTTAATTGTAAATTCACATCATTACCAATGAAAATAAAGGATAATTATAGATTCAGGGGCAAAGTGTCTGCTTAAATGCGTTTGTTACTATGACAAATATCCAATCCATATTGTTTAATTGAAGTTAAAAAAATTTGATTAAATCAAGTTTACACAACTCCCCTACACTTAAAGAGTCAAATGAAGTGATTTAGTAGACGTTTTATCTGGCATATACAATTACTGAATTCACTGTAAAAAATATGAGAGAGGGTATTAAAATTTGGATATAAAATGTATATATGAGAAGTATATTAAGTCAAGGATGCTTTTATTGACCAGTTCCGGTCCGTATTTATATCTTTACAAAAGGCCAAAAATGCTTCCATGTATACACAGTAAAATTTATTTAACCAGAAAAATTTTATTTTGTTTAGTTTGTATCAAATTAATAAGGTAGATTAAATTAAAGTTTTTGTGTTGATATTAATTTCCCTTTTCTTGTATTTTTATTAATTGTTTCTCAAAGTTCTGATTGGATTAATCACTGATCATTTTTCTTGTGAAAATATAAAGGTTTAGTGTTCTGTCTTTCTGTTTTGTTTTCTTTGTTTGGTGTTTATGTTTATGTATGTATTTTTTTATGGTTTTGTACTTTATACTTAATGTGATATCTATGTTTATTTGTGTGTTTTATGTTTTTGTATCTTGTGCTTTAAATTGTGTCTTAGGTGTTGTTATACAGTGTTATTGTGTTAGAAGGCCCTCAGCAGCCCAAGGCCCACAGATAAGTACAGGTTTCATCCTAAAAAAACAGAGTTTACAACGCTACCATATTGAGTGTAGTAAAAAGTACTTCTGTAAATTATAAAATTCAGTATAATTAAATAAAATGATAAAAAAAATTAAAAATAAGTTAACGATAAAAGCAGCCACACACCACAAGCTGAACTTGCCTAACTTGATCTTTAACAGTTTGTATTATTTGTTAAAAGTCACTGAACTAACATGAATCTACTGAATTGCAAGCAGAATATAAATGATTTCCTAATTATAATTTTCTTAAAGATAATAAGAAATATAACTTTATGACCCCTTTTTAGCTCCTTCATACTGTTTTCTGGATTAACTAAAATTACTTATTTTACTTTTGAATTTGTATTGATACCCTTAATTTTGTTAAATAGTAATTAAGAAAAAATAGGAATAAGGTAAATATAAAGAGGAAGATAATCGATATATATTTTTATAGATAAACCATATATCTTAGAGCGTATTTGCTCTTGCTAAACAGACGAAAGCTATTAAATGCTCTTAGAATTTAACGTAATTTTTTTTTTTTCTAGTAACACGCCTTTAAAAAAATGTTTACGTTAAAAGCGTATAAGCATTACACTTTTCAGCTTTGTAATCGCTTAATCAATTTATGAAAAGTTCTTTACCCGTAATAGGTAAGAGTTTACAACATTAAATTTAATTTTTTTCTTGAATTGGTCTAATTAGCTTTTATAGTGGGGTAAAGTAAATCTTATGGCTAATAACTATTCAATGGGTGCATTTTTACGAACAAATAAAAGTTTACCTTTGAGATGTTTATTTTTAGTACAATAATCCTATCCAATCTGGTGACTATATACCATATTTCAATTTTATCAGCCCGGTAACGCTACTCATCGCAATAAGCAGACCACGACAAAACAACTATACGACTGAAAGAAAGGATATTTACGCTGAGCTATTTAGGTTATATACATAGTCTTTCCAACTCAGCCCTTCCTATGTTACATGCTCTTACTAACTACATACTTGTAAAGCTTTTAAGGATGGCTCAAAGATAAAACTCCTCAGTTCTTGTATTATATACGTTAAAATTGACCTACACATGTACGAAATTATAAGCGATTTGCCAACATTAAACTCCTATAAACTGCTAAATAAAATTTTAACAATTCTCTTGCTTATAAAAGTTGCTTTCTCTTAATTTTTTTAAACAGAAAGCATATATCTCAAGCTTCATAACTAAGTAATTATATATGCTATAAAAGTTATAACAAATTAAATATTTAACCGCATTTATATTTAATAGGTTTAGAGAATTCAAAAAAACGACACGCACAATTCATATCAAAAATTACCAAATCATATTAATGGAAAATTAGCCATTGGGCAGAATTTCTTAAGCATTACGTTTAGAAGTAAATATTGGCCTAAATGTTATACACAAGGTGTTGATAACAACGCTGATAAAGATCATTTAGTTGATAAAAAAATGACCACAAAAACTTAAGTATTTTCTAAATTTATACTAAAAAGCTAAAGCTTTTTCTAGTAAACTACAAGTGGTCCTGTTCTCTATTATTGTTCTGTAATGACCTCACTTCTGCAACTCTTGCTTCGTTTTACTATTCTAACGCTATGCTCAATTTCAATAGTTACAATGTTTTACTCGATCATGTCGACTAAGTGGCTTCTTGAGAAAAGGTAAAATATTATTTTTTCAGTAATACATAAAAACGAGTTTAACTCCAGCAAACATTGATAACAGAGATGGTTACTTTATTTCTTGGGGAATCTCACAAGTATGCCATAATTACCCACCCTTGCTAAGCCCGAAGGCCTCACCTTTTGACTTGCATTGCATAAAATACTTCTTTAGTATGAAAGTACCTAATAACTTCTGGCGTGCAACGGGAGTAATAATAATAGTAGAGATTGTTCTACTCTCTCTCGCATTGCTGTTAACACTATTAACTTCTTGTTGTGCGTCTGGTAAAGACTAATTAAGCTATGTAACTTAGAATCATTAAATTTTTTTTTTACAGAAAAAGGAGATAGCAACGTTCTCAAAATACTATACATAGTGCTTTTTTTAAACGTCTTAGTTTCCATCACTTTTCCAGCATCCTTGCCTTCTTCATTACTTGAGAAAGACTTAAAAATTCCAAGTAACAATATATTTTTTACACCGTAATTTTAAAAAAGTATTTTTTTACGATTCAATTCTATAAAACTACCAGGCCTTTAAAGTATATATTTACTTTTTAATAAGTTTGTCAGGGAAGCAGAGCGTACAACTTAGGAGCCTGCAAACTCGACTTAGGCTATAATTGTTTGTTCATTACATTTTGTTCCCTCGTATTATCAATAATTCTGTTAAACTACGCAAAGTTGAAATTAAAAACGGAAAAAAGAAAAAAGTTAGCCAGGAAGGAAAACGTTATCTCTTATTAATAAATTTTATAAATGAAAATCGTAAAATTCGTTAACAAACTTATTTAAGGGCGCTGTATGAGTAGCCTAAAAAAAGTATTACCTTTAAAGAACTTTTATATTAAAAAAAAGTTACCCCCAAACTTTTTAACGAAAGCAACGGCGATTCACAATTTTCAGACCGGTTTTCTTTTCCATTATTATCAGTTACGTTCGTTTTTTCCCAACATATACTTTTGCAACTTTTATTATTATTTTGCAAATTATAATTATTATTTCCTTCTAAATCAAGACATGAATTAAAGTATAAACAAAGATCGGAATTGGTTGTGTTTCTAGCATCCAAGCAGGAAGAATTAGTTGGACTTAATTTTAAATTATTCCTTTTATAATTATAAAACTTTAAATTCTTCTGTTGAGATTTTAGTAATTCAATGACGGCATAATGCTGTAATAAAAAGTTCTAAAAAAAATTAAGTTTTTTAAAATTCAATTAAAATATAAAAAAGTTTAATTGATTTTTTAAAAGTAAATTTAGTTAGTAAGTAAATTAAAAAATAAAAAAGTTATTTCAACGAAGATGATTAGTGATAGTCACAAATAAAATTTACAAGAAAGAAAAAGCGAATGCTCAAATAAATAAACTAAATCAGTTAAATAGAATCTTTATTATATTTGAATATAAAAAATTCACTAAGTATTAATTAGTATAACAAAATTATTAAAAGAACTTAAAAGTAAAAAATAAATAAAGCGAGAGATAATAAGTGTACTAATTTAAATTTGAAATTAACATAAATAAAAATTTTACTATTAACAGAAAAGATTATTACAATAAAAAAAAAAATTAAAAGTCAACTCGCGCGAGTTAAAAAAGGTTTAGTAAAATTTAAAGTACTTACAAATTTAATTAAATAAAAATTAGATATTAGATATAAAAATTTAAGTAATAACCAAAAAACTTAATAGAAGTAGGCAGAACACGAGAAATGAATTTTCATGGGAAAGCAGAGAAACGCCCTGAAAAAAGTGTTTTTTATAATTCTCTTCGCAAAGGCAGACAACCGCCTTTAAAAAGTTTAGTTTTAATTTAAATTTTAGGAATTAATAAAGAGAAGTAACAAAAAATATAAAATATAACAATTGATTAACCGACGCTAAAAAAAATAGTAATAAATATAAACCATATAGCGATTTGTTAAAAAATTAAATAAAATAATTATAAAAAATATAAACTTTTTGTAGTTTTTTTTTAATAGTAAAAGGAAAACAAGTAAAAAGTAAAAAAAAACAAAAGTAATAAAGTTTCTATAAAAACAAATTAAATTCAGCTGCTCTTCTTAAGTAAGATGTAGTGTTATTCCAATTTTTATTTAAATTTATAATGGCGGGTAAACTTGATACTTAAATTCTAAAAAAGGTGTGAATGAGTCTTCCAGTTTACTAATAACAAGCTTTTTAATAAAATTTAAGATTAGTAAAAAAATTAATCTTAATTTGCAAAAAAAAGTAAAAAAGCTAGTAAATTAAAACTTTAAAAAATGTTTTCTTATTATTTCTTAAAATCTTTTATAAAATTTTATAATAGCTGAGAAATTAAATCTTAATGTAAACAACATATATATATATATATATATCTGCTAAGTAGGTTTACATAAGACTTTTAGTAAAAATTCAATACTGAATTTTGGAAAATTTTAAAATTAAAAAGCGACCATCCAATTGTTAGATATATTTTTATTACATATAAAATAAATTGGCATCAATGCAAATCTTGAAAAAAATTGTTTGAAATAATTACTATGATATTAAAAAATTTATACTTAAAAATTTAAATGTTAAAAAAATTATAAACCCGCACAGTAATATAAAATAGTGGATAAAAAATATATAAAGCTATAAAAATAACACAGAAAAGTATTAAAATGCTAATAAAATTATAAAGTTTTCCTTTTCATATTAAAAAAATTAAGTAAACTTTAAGTAAAAGAATCTAAAAATTAGAAACAAAAAAAATTTAAAAAAAGTATTTTTAACTTTTTTTTAAATAATATCAATAAGTAGATTTATATAAATAAACAGTTAAAGGAATAATTGTAAATTAAACTAACTTTACTAGTAGAACAAATTAAATGGAAATCTTTATTTTCTTTGGAATCTTTATAAATTTAATTCATTATTGATATTTGGATCAATATAAAATTAAATAATAAAACTTAAGTAAAAAATAAAATAAAAATACTAAAAAACTATATTAAAAGATAATAATAATAAGTTTGTTTATACTAAGAACCGACTTAATATATTGTATACTAAATTAAAAAACTTTTAAAATATACAAGAAATTATTGGAAAAAAAAGTATAAATTTAATTACATGAAAAATTATATAAAAGCTAATAATAACTTAAAAGTTTAATAAAACAATTAAAAACGCGTAAAAATTAAAAAAAAATAATGTAGAACATAAAAAAGTAATAAAGTTTATAAGTAATTAAAATGATTATATAATATTTTATTAGTAGAAATATATAAAATTATGCATTTTCTTTAAAAATAATTATTAACAGAAAGTTTCATTATTAAAAACATTAATTTTTTAATACAGAAAAATATTTTTAGAAGTAATTAATTATAATCGATTATTATAAAGAATATAAACTATAAAAAATAAAATTTCAATTACAAAAGTTGAATTAATTAATTTGAAAAAGTTTGGGATTTTACATAAAAACGAAATGAATGTGGTATTAAGTATGAAATCTTATTTTATAATTGTATTTAAAAAAGACACAAGCAAACGTGTAAAATAATGAAGTATTTAATTTTATTACAATAAAAAAATCACTAATCAAATTTAAATTTTTTAAAAAACTTTTTAATTTATTTAAAATTAATAAATTAATTGTAGAAATTATAATTTATTAAAAAATAAATAAGCTTAAATAAAAAAAATTACCCAAATAGAAACTTCCGCCAAAATTAATATTCTTAATTTCAGAGTTAATAAAAAATTTAACATAAGGATGAGCCCGCAGAAAAAAGTGGTGTAAAAAAGTAAAATAATTATAATTTTGCTGTCTACAAAGTTTTTGTAAATAAATATAAAATAAATTTTATAAATTTTAAAGTTATAATATAACCAAATCTAAAAAATTATTATAGTTTTGTTAATAACAAAAACTTAAAATTTAGATTTCAATAATTGTTACGTAGTAAAAGTTTTTTTTATAAACATATTATATGTCGCTATAGTTTTTATAAATTAATTAAAATTGTATGAGGAATGATTTTAACAAAAATTAACTTTCTATTGAATAAGGTTACAGTAATAAATAAATAGAACCATAAAAAGAAGTAGAATTTAATATAAATTTTATATATCTATGAATAAATTGTTAATATTTTTTCAAAACCGTAAGAAAATATATTAAATATATAGTAAGCAAAATTTATTTTAAAATAGGGAAATAAAAAATTTAAAATTAATTATTCAATTTCAATTATATTATATATTAAAATAAAAAATACGAGTAAGATAAAATTCATAGAGAATCCAAAACAATAAAGATCCCTCATTTTGATAATCTTCTTGATTTGTATAATTTATCACAAAGAGGGTGGCGTAAATACCCGTTTTCATAATATAACTAAAGAGTAAAAGTCTCCGAAAAAGTAAAATCAAATTTAAAGTCATTGAAGACTGCTTAAAATCAAGTCCCTATAATTATAAATTAATTTAACTAGAATAATTAAAAAAAAAGGTTTAAGTAAATGTGAAAAAGAAACCGAATAATTGGGTGATTCAAAATAATTGTTTTCTAAAAGTTAATTTTTAGGATTTAAATTAAAGTAAAGTGAAGTAATTAACTTTATATAAATATTATAAAAAGCAATATGATCAAATATTTTTATTATATATTAAATTATAATTCGATCTACGGATTATGTTAAAACCGGCCATAATTTAGTCTCCCTTAATCGTAAGTCCAGAAATTCTGCCTTTTTTAATTTTTTTAAACGTTTAATTTCTAAAGAAGCTGCGGTACGGCAAGGGGAACAAAAAGGATAGAGATTTTCTAATTTCTTAAGGAACTCGCTATATTCCTGATGAACATGCTAATATTAAGTAAAAATCGGGAATTAGCTATATACTAGCTGCAAGGCTATAATGAACATAATTTAAAATATTGGCTTTATAATAATATTATACAAAAGTAAAAAAAATTAAAAAGTAAACACCATTTTTGTCAAGCTGTAGGCCAAAAAGCAGCATTGACTAATAAAATTACCTTAGTTTTCGGAACAAATTCCTTTTGATGATTTATAATAATTTGCCAGGTGCCCCGACACGTAGGGCATAGTATTTGCTGAACCATGCAAAATCTTTAGATCAAAGTGATTAACTTAATTTAAACTTACCGTAAAAAATAAAAAAGAATTTAACTACTTGTAAATCCTAATACGTATAATAATAAAGTAGAATGCAATCTCACCGCCTAATTCAAAGCTACCAAAACTTTTTTTATGAGAATTAAAATTTAGCTTAATAGATAGTATTAGTGTAGATCATTATATAGATTAAGTAATAAGTTTTTTATAATATCCTATAATTTACTTAACAAAAAAGAAAGTTTGCTTCCTAATTATAATTTGTAACAATACTACTATTAATTCTCCATTAGTAAACGTGTGGGGTTCCCCCCACTCTCTCTGTACCAAGTAGTTTGTCCCATTTGCCAAGTACTGGCCCCCGACAAGATAGGCCGTTCCGCCAAACTGCGGCGCCTACCTTAAAAACTGTAATGATTAATTAAAATAGATTTACTAAGGCAAACTTCACAAAAATAATCAAGTCAACTTCTTAAGGCTATTAGTGGAACTGATAGATGGTTTCCTTCTGCTGTGCTTGGCTAATGTTATGTTTGAAAATCTTCTATTTATTTAAAGGTAGTTCACTGCTTTTAAATTTTATCTACCT